CACTACAGTTACAAATGTCAAAGGGGCCTTATTATTTTTGTAACAATGAGAAAGTATAAGGGATCAATAAATTAAAGTCAAATAAAAATATAAAAAAACTCATAATCAAGTTCAATAGATTCACTTAATTTTAATATCAAATTACAAAAGTCTGGAGGCCTACTCTACTTCAACGAAAAACGAAATTTCGCAATTTTCTTGCTATGTTTCTGGTTCGTTTTAAATTATAATAATATTCGTCGTCGGAATATAGATTAAGGTGTAGATTTTCAATTAGATAGTTTATCGTTTAAATTAAGTATAACTTTAAATTGACGAAATTAAATTTCGTTTGAACTTCTTTATAGAGAGTTCGTTCGAGTTGACCCCCCGTTCTATATGATAGCTACAATGATTCCTTAATAAAATTATCTATGGAGTTTGAGCACATTTTCAACAAAAACGAATATTAATATATTTCGCTTTTCTAAATAGTAAAATTTTAGATCTATTGGTATTGAATAAACTGCTCGCTGCTTGCTGCATTAAGTCACGTGATGTCTCAATCTATTTAAACTACAAAAAGTCATGGCATCAACTTTAGTCAAATCTAAACAGTAAAAATTGTATCTTCCGAGTATCCCATTGGAATTTCACAAACAAACATATCAGGAAACATCGCATTCTCTATTTTGTTTGGCAATCGTCTAATGAAGCAGCAATATTGTACAACTGATAATAATAAACATTTGTCCCCTTGTCTTCAGGTCCGTCCACCCCCCTCAGATTCTGAAGAAGAACAAATAACCCGTCGCCGTTGTCCCGCCATCAAAGTGCCGCCCATAGAGCTGCCCCCGCTCATATCGGAGATGGAAGAATCTTTGAACAAAGCTACAAGCGTCGCTCAATTATCAACGCCGCTGTTTATGAAGGTAAATAAATGTTTCGCTTTTTTTTCTCCCTCTCTTTTTATCTCCATTTCTCTCTTTTCCTAGCTTTTTAATTTATTCTCTCTTTTTATCTAAATATCCCTCTTTACATCTCCATTACTCTCTTTCACTCTCCTATTCTTTCTTTTCTCTGGCTCTCTTTCCATATCTCTCTTTTTTACACGTTCTCTCCGAAACATTCTCACCAATTGACATATCCAAATAGTAATCTGTCCCGCCATGAAAGTGATGGAAGTATCATTGAACAAAGCTACCGTTGTAGCGCAACTATCAAAACCGCTGTTTATGAAGGTAAAATAATAATAATGTAAATAAATAAATATTCATCAAACCCTAACCTTTTTGTGTTTCTCTTTCTCCCACTTTTCGTCACCTATTCTCTCTTGCTCACTCCTTGATATATGGCAATTATCCTAGCTAAAAAAAATCTGTCTTATATCGGAGATCGAGGAATTATTAAACAAAGCTACAAGCGTCGCTCAATTATCAACGCCGCTGTTTATGAAGGTAAATATTCACTCCCTTATTCTCTCTCTCTCTTTTTTTAGCTCTCTATAATATAATTTTTTTTGCTTCCTCTGTATCTAACAATTTCATCAGCTATTTATGAAGATAAATAAATGTTTCTCTTTTTTCCTTTTCTTTTTCTCTCTCCTTTTCTCTCTTCTCCCCTTGTCTCTCGCTCTCTCTCAAAAAATTTCTCCAATTGACATATCCACATAGTAATCTGTCCTTCTACGAAAGTGTCGCCCATTATATAAGAGAACGAAGAATCGTTGAGTAGAGCAACTAGTGTAGATAGTTGTTTATGAATATATTAACATCAGTCTTTATATACAAACCTACTAAAATATACAGGTTGTAAAAAACCTTTAACGAAGTCGAAGGCCACGTATTTTTCAAATTTGACAATCACTTTTTTCTTCTGGACCATACCTGGGAAATTTATGGTTAGGAGATATTGAAGGTCAAAGTCACTTTTTTTTTTCAGAATTTTACATTAGTATTTTCAAAACGTTATTCAGAGACCTTTTTATCGACGCACTTACACACACGCACACACATAAACAGGCACATTCTTTGCGTAGCGCCACAGTAGCGCGCCGCGCTATACATTGCGTACTGGAAAAAAATGATTTTCTTTAAATTAAAAATACAATTTTTCCCCCGCATAATATTTTGTAATATTATTTATTTGGGTACAGAATGCGTAGTTTGAGTCTTTGTCATAGGATTTATGACATCCTGCCCCCCTAGCATGAGTAACAAAACGCGATATGATAAAGCGATTTATCGACATTAACTGTCAAACTACAATGGAGTTTGACAGTTGAGTGTCGATAAATCGCTTTATCATATCGCGTTTTGTTAGTCATGCTAGGGGGGCTGTATATTATGTTTCGAAAGAAAAATGGCAATTAAGTATCACAGTATATCGCGTCCCCATACCCTACACCGTGGAGTCATGTTACTATCTTTATATATATAATTCTTCTGTGAGTGTGTATGTCACTGAACTTCTCTTAAACGACTGGACCGATTTTGATGAAATTTTTTGTGTGTGTTCAAGGGGATCTGAGAATGGTTTAGATTCACAATTTTGTCCGCTGGACAACCCCTATTTTTTTAGGGCGGTACGAAGTTCGCTGGGTCAGCTAGTACCTATATACAATACACAAACCACTACTCTAAAAGTGTTGTTTCATTGTGTGTCTTTTACAGCAGACGGCAAATCCGTCATGCCCAATGACGTATAATATATAGACAGGTTATATGCCAACATTTTATTGCATTTTAAAATGGCACAAGTAGCCCCCCGCCCCAACTTCCCTTGGCAAAAGCCGCAAACAGTGGTATGAAAGTTTTGGCGTTACATCTTAATTATAATGATAGCTCAAAAATATTCCTCTTTTTGTCTGCAGATGTACAATTTGGAGCGTTCAAAATCGGCGCCATTGCAAACATCGACGCCCGCACCACACACTATGCAAGTTTCTATAAAGTCTGAACCTTTAGACGAACCACTATCAAGTTAAACCTGTAGTCTTAACTAATGTAACTTATATATTGCTCAACGAATTAGAAATAATATGGAATACGGACTGCGCTAAAATGTACCCCGGTACCCCGCAAAATTCTTGAAAAAACTGCGATGAACACGCCGATCATTGGATTGGTTGACATTTCCGTTTCAAAAATTCAATATCGTTTATTCATTCTAGGCCATTTCTACAAGCACTTGTAAATGTCGGAGAAATACGCTATCGGTTCGCAAATCTACGACCTTGTACTGAGAAGAACCGGCAACAAACTCAGCAAGGGCTGTTTTTTTCTCCCTGTATTATATACAGAGTCGTCAAATTGAAAAATGATTTGAATATGAGATAACTCATGAAGTCATTTTCAATTACAAATGTAAATGATGCAAAAATAATATCTATAAAATAAAAATTATAAAAAGAAACTGATTTAACAACGTTTAGGAATGCCGTGTCTTACTGTTTAGGCATAAAACAGATTCATACCCAATAATGGATAGCCGAATTCATATTGAAGATATTTGATTTGTCCAAAAAATTATTTCGTTTTGCCTGTGTGCGTGTCGCGTTTGTATTGAAGTTTAGCTGTGTGAGTTTTAAACCATGTTTTAGCTGCCTTTGTTAGACAGTAATGCTTCTGTATCATTTGTGATTCGTTGATTATGCTAGCACTGCACATGGTTATTCGTATTTGCTATTTGTCATTTTGAAAGCAGGTTGTTCTTATCATACTTTAAATGGAATGAAAAGGAGAAACTATTGTCAAGTTTACAAATAACAAATTTGAAAAATAATGTGACGTGCAGGTATTAAAAAGTAAAGCTGTTGAAGATTATTAAAGAGTCTGTCTGTGACGTATGAAACCACGACAGTTAATTTATCAACTTTCTAAGTTTTTGAAGCAATATTGGTGTCGATTCTGCCATGATTCTCTAAACTTTCTTAATTAAATGGATATTGGTGTCGATTCTGTCATGACTCTCTAAACCTAAACTTAAATTTGACAACAGTGTATCTTAAATTGGGCACAAATTGATTAATTTTTCCCAAATGATTTTATTGAACAAAAGATATTTTTAAGAATGACGCTATCGGATGGAAATGAAAGTTATAATAGTATTATTGTTCACAGCCTTTGCTTTAGTCTATATTTAAACATTAATTTATAAAGTTGATAATTATCTTGTTCATACATACGCTAAAAACGAGTTAAATAAAAGTATATTAAGTCATTAAAAATTTGTATACAACACATAAATAAATTTTTGAGACAGACATACTTATATATAATTATAGTCATATCATGGTGTAATTGATGAAAGATGAGGGGAAATGTGATATTTAATTATTTAAACTTATGTAGATTATAGTTAACTTCGCCATTTATAGAATGGCGACTTACGACTTATTAAAGATACCGTTTTTGGCCTTACTAAACAATGCAAATTGTTGCATATTAGGAAATATTTATAGCTGTGTTTTTGGTTATCAAATCAAAGAACACATTTTTTCTTCAATTTCAACATTGTATTTCGTCTATTTGTGTTTATGATCGTGAGGTTTTATTTAATTAATAATTTTTAAACAGTTAACTCATCAACTAGAGTAGTAATTGCTTTCGTGTTGTTGTTGTTTTGTTGTTACCATGTAAAATAATGAAAGACTTTTATATGATAACATTTTCATTGCTTTTGAATCGAATTTTATTTAACTTAAAAAAGTTGAATTTTATAATGTTACTTTTGATGTAGGTACCAACCAAAATTGTTTTATTTCTTCTATCGAATTTTCAGTATAATTTGTTTTCTTTATATTTCAAAATTACTGAGGAAATTCTATACATAGGTGACCTATTTATATTTGGGTGAAAATTTCACAATAATATATACTGGCAACACTGTTGACTGTGTGTTCAAAAAAATCATTATATTTTCACATCGTCTTGTCGTAAACATTCCAAATGTAAAATTGTAGAGATACGTTAAGACAATAAGAGTTGATTTAATCTTATGTACTTTAATGATGAGAAATAAAAATATTTTGTAAATAATAATCATTATTTTTATTTGCGGTTTTATTAACATTGTGTCCGTCAAACCAGCAGTGCCACCCCCTCCACCTTTGAACCCCACATCAGTTTTGCAGTATTGTGTTTGGCTGATGAACAAATAAATTGATTTGTAAAGCTATCTTTAAAGTATTCAGTTGGAGTGCAATATATCTTTAGCCGGTTTGGTAATAGAAAACTCGCTGAATTTCACCACCAAGCCCTCTCTTTGAGGGCTGCAACACATCGGGCCCACGAAGTACTGCGCAGCATCAGGGAACGGGCAGAGCCGCAACAGGTTCCAAGTCACGTTATCGGACGAGTATTTCACGCAAATCACACCTCTAGTTTTGGTAAGACGCATCCAGAATTTGCGCGGGTTGCCGCTGTAGAGACCTAGAAACGGAAAGATTGGACAATGTATTGCAAGCTAAAGCTTTATGCCGACACTTCACATGGCTATTCGTGTATAGTATTTGTCTTTTGTTAAAAGCCTGCCCTTGTCATTTTGAAATGAAAACTTCTTTAGTATCGTTGTGACTTGAGATCCGATGAAACGGAAGTAGAGAATTTGACACAAGATAGGTATCCGTCATTTTATCATTTACTACAAGAGACAGGTAGACACACGGTAACGGTCTTGGGGTCGACACCAAATGATCGGTGGTTCAATCCTGAGCTCGGTTATTTTTTAATTGTTTTAATTGTTTTTTTTATCAAGGTATTTATTTATTTATTCTTTATTACCATTAAAACAGTAAATGGCGGACTTAATGCCATAGGCATTCTCTACCAGTCAACCAGTAAAGGTGTAGGAGATGAAATGTAATGGCGATAGAATATGAGCTACTTAGTGTGGATCATAAAAACTATCTACTATACCTAACTATTCTATAACAACAATAAATATAAAATACATATTATACCTACACATATACTGATACACATATATATTCATAAATATATATATATATATATATTTATAAATAAATACAAAAAATAAACATACATACACTAAATTAGTAAAAAAAAATATGATGACAAATAGATGACTACAGATTAAGAGGAAAATTAGTTTGATAGATAGTGAGCACGCACTAGTTTTTTGATTTGTAACTTATTACGTGCACTGCGAATATTCAGTGGCAAAGCATTCCAAAGACGTATAGCTGTGATGGCGAAAGATTTGGAAACGAACCCTGAATGGTGAAAAATAGTTTTGAGGGTAAGGTGCCTGCAAGAGCGAAGATCACGTGGTCTGAAGGACCCAGAAACTGTAACCTTGATTTCAAGTATTCTGTGGCACGTGGATCGTATAGAACACTGAAAAGCATGCATAAAATTCTGAGATTTCTACGGTCACGTATTATTTCTTTTTCGAAACAATTTAAGTATAGAATATTTAAATTTTCCTAGTATTGTACAATACCTGAATAGTTAAGTATTAAACGATTGGTAAGTGCCTAAGTTGTTTATTAATAAAGGCTTTGTTTTTAATAAAAACAAAAGAATTGTTGATAAAAACTTTTAATCAACAATTCTTATCTTTCCAATGATTGAAATTTTGTTACAGTATATTTAAATAAATAAATATTTCGAAAAAAAGTTCAAATAAGAAAAATATAAAAAAAATATAGCTGGTAACAAATAAAACTTGCGTGTCCACATTTTTGTAGGTTTTACTTCTATTATTAACAGCACATGTCAATTTTTTTAGTGTGTCTGTTGGTCCTTTACAGCGTCACCGGGTGTGGCGACCGCGAGATCATAAAGGGACCTCCAAGCGGATGGCATCTCCCCACTGAGAGTCTCTGAGAAGTCCTTTTCATGCTCACGATAATGACTCCTATAGGGGGTTGAGTGAGGGAAGGATATGGGTTTTTTTTTTAAATCTGACATGTTCGCTAGTGTTAATTAACTTCTAAGTTAATTAATTAATTCACAAGATATCAAAATAATTATTCATAAACTAAGTCACAACTGGTAACCGTGCCGGGCCGATGACCAGTGTTCCGGCGGCCAGTCTTTCATGGCGGAAGGGTATGGGTTTTTTTTTTTTAAAGAACTGTGTTTTTCAAAAGATAATAAATTAGCGCGGGGTAAAATTGAGTAGTAGATGTAAGCGTGACTTGATCGCGAATGGAGTCGGGCGAGTGACCTGCACCTCGGCGCACTAGACCATCGACCGCCGAGGTGCAGGTCACTGGCCCTTTCCGTTAGGTCACCCCCAGCTATGCCGTGCTGGTGGTGGACCTGAGATAGAAAGACAAAGATTAAAGAAGAGTGTGCACTTCTTGCCAGAGAGAGGCAAGAAGGGCCAAGAGAAGAAGGAAGGTGAAGAAGTCGATCAGAGGATCAGAGCAGAAGAAGAAAAGGAAGGAAGGGCCATCATCAGCCTATTAATGTGCCCACTGCTGGGGCACAGGCCTTCCCTATAGATGGAATAGGTAGATTGGGCCATGACCCACCACGCGGGCCGCGGGGCGGATTGGTGCTGACGACTGCAGATGCAGCCGGGACCAACAGCTTAACGTGCCTTCCGAAGCACGGAGGAACTCGAGATAGAAGATTTTTGGTCACCCATCCAATGACCGACCACTGCGAAAGTTGCTTAACTTCAACGATCGCAGCCGAACGCGCTAACCACCTGCGCTATTGAGCTCCTCACCATTTATTTCCTGTATTTCCTATTGCTATAACTACTACCACTATCAGGTAGTAGGTATAGCAATAGGAAATACAGATTTTCCTCAGACAATATGCCCTTTACCGCCATGATAAATGGCATAAAGCACATAAGGATGAATTTATATTACTTGAAGTGATCAATAATAAAATGAAACAAAAGTCAGTCTCTTTACTATTATTAGGGTATAATAAATAATGCAAGATTGCTGAAGTATTACAGAATTAGAAACAGTTTTTTGATGGTAGAGTTTGGATAAATATATTGCGGCATGTGGGTAATTAGAAAGAAAGTATTAGAAAGAATAAAGTTTATGCCGCTCAAACCCATGGATATATGCCCAAATCTAAGTCTATGGTTGTAGGTTGTACGAACTTACCTGTAGCCCAATCAGAGTTTTGGTTTGTGAGGACACTGCTTATCATGGGTTGGCCATCATTGTATTCAATGCCTGTTTTCAACCAATGTTTCTCATCCGTATAGATCATTAAGCCCGCTTGATCGTAGAGTGTAGTAAAATTAGCTTCGACGCAAACCTAAATTTTTAAAAAGTTACAGCTATATCATCGTTACGCGAATATTTTGTGTTTATTAGCCATTTAACTATATATATAAGTATAAGTTGACTATATTAAAAACAACCAACTACAATTTGATTCCATTTTGCTTTTTTTTTTACCACAAAACGGGAATCGAACCAACAATAGAGTGAAGGAAATCATTAATCAATATAAGTACCAAATTTTTTTTTAGTCACGGTGTAATCATTGTTACGAGTCGTGTTTCCAAACTCTAAGAACTAATTTAAATAAACATTTAACCCATTTAACTTACTTCAAAAGTAAAGTCATCCTTGATGTTTATGCCGTAAACGTGTCCAGTATTGAAGTGAAAATTATACCATGTCCCCTGCCAGAAGTCAGTTTTACTGTCTGTCGTCACGCGAAGAATGGAATTATCTTCCAAACACCATACTTTTGGGGCATTTAGCCATTTGAAATCATTTATATCTAAATTACTAAAATTATTCGATTCCATTGTGTTTGATGTATTTAAACTATTCTTGTAATGTGATGAAAATGTACCTAAAATGTATTACTATCATTGTATGATTAATATCAATATCATTAGCATGTTGTTGAGTTGATAAGCAAAAAAACTCGATTGCTATTTCTGTAGTGTTTCAAGGTGACGATATCAACGCGTGTTGTTGATAAAAGTACTAGTATTTAACCAGTTTTAACAAACCACTGGGATTCTTTTACAACGATATTGAATTTTCTTTTTATAAATAAATTGCTTAGTGAGTTAAGTAGTGCAGTAATTATTTTAATTACGGATTAATTAATTACATAATTTAACATTTCTGATGTTTTAGATTTTTGGCCATGGCAACATTTGACATGTCAGTAATATCAAAAATCGTTTATTTCATTCATTTGTTTGTTCATTCATTGTTAAAATATCATTCACGTTATGAGTCCCATTCATTCTCTTCATTTTCAAAATGGCGACATTTCCGAAAATTGCGGCACGGCGTGATGGCTCCGCGTGGTTTATGAAGAAATTGAAGTTTATTTTTGTTTTTAGATAACTGCTAGTTAATCTTTCTTTATATTGTGATTTGAAAAGAGTTCTAAACTAAAATGGGCAAACCAGGTAAGCTATTTCCTTACGTTATCCTTTTAGACCGGCCTCGTGGGTGCAGAATTTATTTCGAAAAATATTTTGCAACTTTAGAGTATAGTTTAGATGTTTAAATTAAATTTTATTTACTTCATATAGGAATGTAATAAAAAGTCGATATTCAACCGTAGGAGTTGGTCCAGTAGTTAACCAGTTTTGAGGTTATGTTTTACCCCACGCAGCACGCTTACAGAAATAGTGGCCATGTGTTTCTAAAATGTTTTGTTGGAATACCTACAGTTTCTGCCATATGTTTTATCATCAACTAAACCTATTTATACTTTGTCTTTCTGCGTGGTATTTCTTCATATTCCCATTCTGTAAACGCATGTTTTTAAGCAATATGCCGGACATACTGTACTTCCAGGGCCCTAATGTAAAAAGCGCCAAAAGTACTCAAATCTCCATGAAACAAACAGATCGACGCAGAAAAAATCTGAATAAAAAGTTATGATAAAACTCATTTTTGACTTAAGTGGCATATAAGCGATTTTGCCTTCCACTTTAGATATTTACGTGTCTCTTGTTTCGCATAGTACTTCTCCATACTTGTTCCCATGCAATAAACCTTGTGTTATATCTTAGAATTCAACAATAGCCGCGGCGGTGGCGGAGGTCGTGGCGGTGGGGGATTCCGCGGTGGTAGAGGAGGCGGCGGAGGCCGAGGGGGCTTCGGCGGCGGTCGCGGGGGCGGAGGCGGCGGCCGAGGGGGCTTCGGAGGCGGCGGCGGCAAGTTTGAGAAGCGCGGCGGAGGCCGGGGGGGTGGTGGCTTCGGCGGAAGGGGCGGCGGCGGTGGTAAGTGTTATTCCTATCTGTTTCTTAACCAGCGTTTGCTGTATAATCTATGATATAGTAAGAAATCTATAAAATCAGTGATATACTGCATGTTTGTAATTATTATGACACTGGTGCTGGTTCTGGCAGGATACTCTTCATTTAAAATGAGTATCTCCTTTTAATTAGGTTAAGGGAATCATGCCAGCATCTGCACCAATATTATTTCAAAAGCTAGATTTGTACAGCTGGTCAAGCTGATTAGTATATTGAACATGTTAAAAGTGTTACAAGTGTGGAATCTGACACAGGAAACAAGCACTTAAGCTTGTTTCCTGTGTCAGATTCCTAGCATTATGCTATGTATTTTATTTCTATGTAAATATAAAATCCTGGAAGACATTGCTCTTTTATCAGCTGTAGAATGTTTATTGAGGAAAAGTAATGAAAAAGAAATTTCGTAGAACTACTATTTGCATCTACAACAGTGTTTCACTCAAAATTACCACAACTTCAATGATGACAGCATGGTCCCTCTAATCTTGACCTATTCATGAAGACTATGATACCACATACCCACTTCTGAACTTGATATTTTTTTGATAGTGAAAAACTTGTTACATAAATGGAGAATAATATCATTCTTTATTTCAGGAAGAGGCCGTGGTGGTCCACCCAAAAGGGGAGGCTTCAAGGGAGGCAAGCAAGTTATAATAGAACCACACAGGTTGGTAAATTTTTCCTAAAACCTGATATTCAATTCTTGTATAAAACTTATCTGACAAATAATTTGATACTTGATGATTTTGAAATGATGTTACATTTATAACTTTCGTTCTTCTGAATGCGAACGCTTGAAGCCAACATAATTATTACTGATCATATGTTTCTGTTCTAAGAAGGTTGGATTGGTTTTACCATAATCTGTTCCATTATTTTCAATGATTGCAATTTTTTAGACATGCTGGAGTTTTCATAGCTAGAGGAAAGGAAGATGCCTTAGTTACCAAGAATTTGGTGCCTGGATCTGAAGTGTATGGTGAGAAAAGGATATCTGTTGAGGTTTGTACAAATTACATTTTCAGATTCTAAATAAAAAGTGCCTGTTTTGCCACTTACTCGAAGATTATTAGCTTACATCAACCCAAGATCTTTCCTTTTGTGTACATTGATTTACCAATGGAGTGACATTTATTATACAAAAAAATAAAATCAAACTAAATGTTCGTCATATGAAATCATAATCTAAAAAAAGAAATGAAATGAAAGTTTATTTGCATGAAACATATTTTGTTACAGCTGCTAAATAATATAAAAAGTTCCATATGTTTCGCCCTTGGAAGAGCATACAAAATACTAATAAATTATTTAAAAATTCAAATTTAAATTGAGTAATAGTAAGAAATTATTCTTATAAAATGAAATTTATGTGAGTTAAGAATCTTAATTTAGAGCAAGTGGAGAAACAGGCATGAATCTATTTAAAAGCATCTAAATGATGATTGTGGTCCCTCTAAGCTCGACCTAATCGTGAAGACTATATCCACATACCCACTTCTGATATACTTTCAAATTCTTTCAACCCACTAAATCTAAAATATCAGGCACTGAAACGCTAATTACATTGCAGGCTGAAGGAGAAAAGGTTGAATATAGAGTATGGAATCCGTTCCGATCAAAGTTGGCTGCGGCTATCATGGGTGGAGTGGATGCCATACACATGCCTCCAGGGTCCAGAGTTCTGTACTTGGGAGCTGCCAGTGGCACCACAGTCAGTCATGTATCTGATATTGTCGGACCGGTGAGATAATCATTTTATGTAATATAATGATGTTAATATTAGTTTAAATAAATGCAAAATTTTTATTCAAAGAAAAATCTCAAGTCTTGTCATAATATTATGACAAACTATTTTTTTTGTCTAACTTCAAATGATGAACTGATATTCAGACCTATTCATGAAGACTACTGTTTTATCACCACCCACTAAACTGATTACATAAACAATATTTGGTTGTACCTTTCCTGTGTTAACAGATTTTTCAATGCAATCCTAATTTTTGTTTCAGGAAGGATTAGTATATGCAGTAGAATTCTCACATAGATCAGGGAGAGACCTGATAAACGTAGCCAAAAAGAGAACTAATATCATTCCTATAATTGAAGATGCTAGACATCCACTTAAATACAGGTAATTAATAAATTAAATTGTGAAATATACTCAGGACTCATAACTTTCCCAAAATGTAATTTTTGTTCAAATTTGACAAAAAATTCAAATGATGAAGATCCTATGAACTAAATCTTTTATGTTTAAATAAGCTTTGAACTCTCTCTCTGACCAAATTTCTTTACAAACTCAGTTTCTTGCCAAAAGTTATTTTCAAAATCTGTAAAATGTTAAATGTTTGTTTCAGAATGTTAGTTGGTATGGTTGACACAATATTTGCAGACGTAGCACAACCAGATCAAGCTAGAATAGTTAGTCTAAACGCTCAGCATTTCCTTAAAAATGGAGGACACTTTGTCATCTCAATCAAGGTAAGTTAAATTTTTCAGTGAAGTTAGATATTAGTGTTGATTCTGGCACAATTTAAACTTAAAAACTTAATATTAATATCTCTTTTTCTGTAGAGAATAGCAACAATACAGTGTTGTCAAATTTAATTGTAGGTTTAGAGAGTTGTGCCAGAATCAACACAGTTGTTGTAAAGATATAATTAAAATTTTGACTGAGATGCAGAATACCGAATTATGATTCCTAGTTGTGTCAAAGACTTATTTACATTATTTTGTGCCTTGTGTTACTTTTCATTAAGTGCTTCGTATCAATTTAGAACCAGGGGGGCTTAACGGGATTGCTTTGGCTATTGTTATCAATTACAATTTCATTTTGTTATTTCCGACCGCCTAAAGTTTTCGAATACCTCACGCTCATTTTCTCTAATTTTGTTATTACCAGTGCAAAAGAAAAAGGATGCGAGGCATTTGAAAGCCATCTACGGTCAGAAATAACAAAATGAAATCGTAAGCGATATCCATAACAATTCCGTTAGGCGATTGACCCCCAGTTGTAAATGAGGCTCAATAATTATATATCCAATTTATGCCTATGATGAGAAAAAAGATCGAAATTTTTTATGTTGAAATCTGAACTCTCTCACTGAGGTATACCGCAACTTTTATAACATTACGGCCATCTCTTATGTCTTGACAAGTAACTAACTTTTAAATTGTTTACTGCAGGCATCGTGCATAGATTCAACGGCGGAACCGGAAGCCGTTTTCGCCGCAGAAGTTAAGAAATTGCAAGCAGACAAATTGAAACCGCAGGAACAGTTAACTTTGGAGCCTTATGAGAGAGACCACGCAGTAGTAGTCGGAGTATTCAGACCCCCACCGAAGAAAGCATAATGACAAACAATAGCCTAATTTGTCTTGTCTATTGTAAAATTAGTTAACAGTGATAAAACCGGATTTTATTTTTTTGTCTCCAGTGCGAAATACCTAATTGTTAAGTAAGTATTAAGTTGATTTACGAATGGACGTATGAATTGTATGTTTTTAGCTTTAAGTGTTAAGAGAAATATATTTTAATGACTGCCACATACACGTTTTATTTTACTTTCTAATACTTACGAAATGTCAATAATGTACTGAGTAAGTAAGTGTCGTGCAGGGTAACTGGAAACCAGTTCAATTATAATTTAATTATCTTATTTTATTCTTAATAATTTAATTATTATTTCTGTTTAGACTAATCATGATTTATAAAAAAATGGTGGATGCCCGGAACTTAGACGCGTGTTTTAACTGGTTTTCCATAAAATCTTCCAGATTCCCTTTTTTACTCACTAGATTATTTCTGGGGTTAAACTATGGCTCTATTTACACTGCTGCTGAATATAATGGTCATTTCATACTAGCGCAGTCGAAGCGAATTTCAGAAACTAACAAAATTCACAAGAAGTTCTTGAGTGGAGTTCAAGCACTTCTTGATTGGCACACATTTGAACGCTCGTGGTGTGTCTAGGGTATATACCTAATATCGTTGGGCTCATGATGTCAACATGTATTTATTTAGTTTATTGCACAATTCACAATAAAGATTAATATGCTATGCAGAGCTATGTTGCGAAAAATCGCTTACATTCCATTCCGCGATGGTATAAATTAGCTTTATTTCTATACCTACCGAATTTCGTTTTGAGCAGAGAGAATACAAATAAACAAGAGGCGCTCAATCCTGTTTTATAGACCGGGAGATGATGACACAAAATACTTGGTCATTTGTACCAGTATGGCGGTTCTTCAGGGGTCTAATTACGTAAAGGCAAAAAGGAAAATGATGGTCATAGCGCTCGCACCGGCGGCCCAATCGCGTGGGCGTTAATCGAACGCGTCGGATAAATAACGAGTGTCGAACGATTTGTTCCACAAAAATGCTTATATTTTCAGATAATCGAAAAAAAGAAGTAGGCGGTAGCGTAATGCCATACTTCTCGGGTGTGACTTACAGCCCGCCATACCGACGCGAATACATTAATTTAAATAAAACAATTCAACCATTTGTACCTGGCTAATTTTTGCACAGCTTATCATCGTCGAGTAGCCATTCACGAAAATCACCTTGCCATACTTTTCCGACAGTTCCCAATGGCCGCCATACCGCTGCAAAGGAGTAATTTTTTTTTTTCGCCAAACCCAATCAAGAAGTGCTTAAACTCTGAATGATTCGCTAAACTTAAAACTAAATTAAACATCAGTCTCTCCTTTTCATTCTGTATTCGCTATGTGCGAAGTACATGGTGGGGGTATTGTGAAACGATCGCAGCGCTTATCGTGGCAGAAATACGCAACAATCCGGGAAAGTGAAGTCAATTTGCACGGAGTTCGTAATAAATAAATTTTTTAAAAAGCCTAATAATAGATGTTGTTGTGTTGTGAACTGCAAAAATAACGGCACAAATAGTCTGTGTTTATATTTCCTACATTGGACTGGAAATTAAATCAAAGAAATAAGTGGATAGATGCCATAAAAAGAAATAAGTAAGCGAAATAACCATAAATTATGATCAATTTTATTTGCGCTATATTTTATGTGATATTCATTATTTTCTTTATTATTTTAGTGTAGATGGGTCACCATGGTATCCCAAACCTGACGACACAATTTGTAGTGAACATTTTATGGGAAAAAAAATCAGACGAGGAAGAAAATCCGAGTTATGCTCCTTCGAATATTCCCTGAAATATATCGAAAGAGGAAGGTTAATGATTCACAGGTCCTAGCTAGATATACACACTTGACAAAACGATGAACCACAAAGTCTCAGATACCACATCAAGTCAAATAATAATTAAATCAAACTCAACCTTTTATGGTCGATCAAGTATGTCAAGTCAATATGTTTTCTGAATCGAAATTAAGAGATACAATTTTTATTTGTATTAGATTAATTTACAACGATCACTGTGATGCTGAAATCCAAGCAGATATAGCAACATCAAGAATTTTAATGACAAATAATTTAAGAAATAAAGATAAAAGCTGTGGCACTGACAAAAAATCGTATGAGGATCAATCTACCGAAACAAAAAGTCAAGAATTTGTTGGTATTTCATCAATAAAAAATGATCAAGAACTCCTAGATCTTGCTGGTGTGTCATTTAGCAATTTTGAGTTTTTATTAACTATAAAAAAACTGTACAGTTTCCACTAAAGACCGACTTCTGATTTTTTTGATAACAATGAAAACTGGCTTGACATTTTCAGCATTGAGTGTGTTATTTGGTGTACACAAAACCACAATCTCACGTATATTTCATTCGATCTTACAAAATGTAGCTTGTTCAACTGCTAATTTAATCTTTTGGCCGAATAGAGCCACCGTACAAGCAACAATGCCCAAGTGTTTCAGTCCAGATTACATCAATACAAGAGTTATTATTGACTGTACTGAATTCCGAATTGAAATCCGACAGTATTTAAATTATTATACTTAAGTACTTACTTATAATATTTTTTATTTATCTTTAATTTACTATAGTTACTAGAAATCAATAAAATACAAACTGATGTCATTATTTGGCATAATCCCGGAAAGTTGCGCATTGTAGGTGGCGCTACTGTCGTGCACATAGCGAATAGAGCGTGACAAGAATACACTATTGTCAAATTTTAGTTTAGGGTTAGTCAATCATGCCAGAATCGACACCAATATCGAGTCAAACATCTATATAATTGCTGTTCTCGAGAACGGCTGAACGGATTTATCTTGGTCTTGAAATGTTCGTGGATTCGAATTCTACACCGAAGCGAAGCGAGGACGGGCCACCAGTATTTAAATAATAATCAACATTTGTAATTCAAAATGTTTTTGTTCTTATTTATACTAAGTGTTGCAAAGAAACGGAACCGGTTCCTAATCTCCTTTTTAAATGTAGACTTGATTACTGAAACTAATCGTTTCATATAGTTCCACACCCAAAGGACACTCGCACATTAATTTGAATATCATGTGCGAAAGGGACAGAATATCTTACGTCATCATTTCAGATTCCTTACTTTGATGACAAGAGTTATACCTAACCTATTAGGTACTATTAAGTGGTGTACACATTAAGCGTTTTCCAACGCGCGCTTTGCTAACGCGCGTTTCGAGAACCAAGAGTTCTATTGAAATGTCCCGATTATAAAAAAATAAGACGTAAAATAAAAAAAAATACTCCGTCTTTTATAGCGACGGTAGAGGAGCCACACACAAGTAATCACTTCGGCATCCATTTTCGTACTGCTAGAAACACACCCTACTAAACGCTCGCCGAACGCCCAGCCGAGCGCGGCGTGTGTATGCAATCAACGCGGGCTCAACGCAACGCCGAGCGCCCAATGTGTACCCGCCGTTAATATGAAATGCCTTCGTAATAAGAAAAAAAAGCGAGTGTGCTTATGACCACACGACTGAAGTGAAAGATATATATGTGTGTGTGTACAATATATACCTACATGTACGTACATACACATACACTAATTTTCTACAAAAAATTAAATTTATTTTATGTTTTCATTGATAAACAAATAAGTTGAACTTCCCAAACTAAACCAGAAGATTTGTTGATAGAAAAAAATAAACATACGGAAGATTTCAATGGCGTAGAATTAATAGTAAAATACTTAATTGTTATTGATTATTAATAAATTACGTCGTGTAATTAATTAAAAACCTATTTCAATAGTTAACATCAATTAAACATTTAAGTTAACACTAGATTCATGTATTTTGTGACGGGTATTGTTCATTGTTTACCGATGAGTCACCGATGACACTAATCGTAACTCGTAACGCATTTGCCAGTTTACCCCCCAAGTCAAGCGTGCCTAAAGAAGTTTCACTTCAAAAATCAATATCAATTCAATAACAAATAAAAATCTGCTGAGGAGCTCCATGGCGCAAGTGGTTAGCGCGTTCGGCTACAATCGTTGAAGTTAAGCAACTTTCGCAGTGGTCGGTCACTGGATGGAAGGCTAAAAATTTACTAAATTTACTATCTCGAGCTCTTCCGTGCTTCGGAAGGCACGTTAAGCCGTTGGTCCCGGCTGCATCTGCAGTCGTCAACACCCACCAATCCGCACTGGGCCGGGTGGTGGGTCATGGCTCAATCTCCCTATTTCATCCATAGCGAAGGCCTGTGCCCCAGCAGTGGGGACATTAACAGGCTGATGATGATGATGATGAACAAATAAAAATCAACATTTGTAACTTAAAAATATATTTGTGCTTAGTTAACTATTGTATCATTCTCCGCCCGAATCGTCTTCTGAGACGGGTTGATCGTCGCTATCTTCGTCCTTGTCGCTCCATGAGTGCTCGCTCGCAGACTGGTACTGTTCTAACTCCATCTCTTCGTCTGATGTGTCTGGAGGCAAAAATAAATAAATGAACATGATTAATGTCGCCACCACTGGAGAAAAGGTTTTCTCTATGAATAATTTCTATAACATTCAATCTGCAGGTGTCCTAAGGGTTTGTAATACAGAGGGAAAGTTTAAATATTGAAGATAGGATATTTTACAGAAAGAAGACATCATTTAATTTTGAATGTTATACACAGTCGGGTCATAAGTATTGTATATTCACACAGTAAAAACTTTTTTTTTAGAATGCTGGCTACAAAAAAGTTTATTGAATTCGAATTTCGAATTGTTCATGAAAATAAAAATGTATACTTTTTAGAATTTTACTCATTTTTAAATATCGAGTGGACGCTTAAAGAAGACCGTATTGCAGTTATTGCGTTGCATCGTTGCGGTTACGCGTTAATTCAAATTTTTGACATACTGAAAATTTTAAATATAACCAAAAGATTCGTTCATCGTACCATCAAACGATACAATGAAGAAGTGGTCGCCCTCGTCTGTTAGGACTCCAGCAGTGATAAAAGCTGTGAAGGCGCGAATTAAAAAAAAAATCCCAAACGTAAGCAGAAACTGTTGGCCCTTCAGATGGGGTTAAGCAGAACCACGGTGAAAAGGGTGTTAAATGAAGACTTAGGGCTTCGGGCATATGGAAGAAAAACAGGACATCGTTTGAATGCTCGTCTAATGGACCTGAGACTGAAGAGATACCGCGCTTTGTTGAAGCGGTACGCGGGAAAAAAATATCGGGAAATTCTTTTTTCGGATGAAAAAAATTTTACTGTAGAGGAGAGCTACAACAAACAAAATGATAAGGTGTACGCACACAGTAGTGAAGAAGCGAGCAACCGTATTCCGCGTGTCCAACGAGGTCATTTTCCATCCTCGCTCATGGTATGGTTGGGAGTTTCTTATTGCGACTTAAAAGAGGTAAATTTTTGTGAGAAAGATGTAAAAACGAATGCAGTTGCGTATCAAAATACAGTCCTGACGAACCTTGTGGAACCTGTTTCTCATACCATGTTCAATAACAGGCACTGAGTATTCCAACAAGATTCGGCGCCAGCTCATAGAGCGAAGAGCACACAAGACTGGCTGGCGGCGCGTGAAATCGACTTCATCTGGCACGAAGACTGGCCCTCCTCCAGTCCAGTTTTGAGTCCGTTAGATTACAAGATATGGCAACACTTGGAGGAAAAGGCGTGCTCAAAGCCTCATCCCAATTTGGAGTCACTCAAGACATCCTTGATTAAGGCAGCCGCCGATATTGACATGGACCTCGTTCGTGCTGCGATAGACGACTGGCCGCGCAGATTGAAGGCCTGTATCCAAAATCACGGAGGTCGTTTTGAATAAACTTTATTGTCATAAGAATCTATGTTTTGTTAAGATCATTTTGGTATATAAATGGTTACATAATGAATAAACTTGTTTCAATTATTTTATATTAAACATGTGACAGAATTTATGACCTGACTAGGTATAAGTAATTGTCTATCATACACTTACACACATGTATATATATATATATTATAATATGGTCACTATAATTGTTAGTGACCATGAAAGTTTAATACAATATATGCGTTACCTTTGTACTCAATTAACGCCTCCTGGTCCACTTGTTCTTCATGTGTGGCTGTCCGCTGCGATATTGTAAGTTCTAGCCGCCCTGATAGATTCAACAACTGGCATAGATGAGACCGTCTGTAACAAACCGATAATCATATATATCATCATGGGTTCATCATCATCAGCAAGGGCGGATCCAGGATTTTTTCTGAGAGGGGCACAAGTGGCGTATGGGCAAAAAAAATCAATAATTCAAGTATGTACAGTGCTGTTCAAATAAGAATAGGAAAGCCAATGACCTCCATCTGTCAAACGTCGCTTGAAAAGTATAGTTTGCAAAAAAATCTCAGAACACTTTTTTAGCACTCGGCTAATTCTAGAATAAAAACCAGATATTGATAATTAATATTGGTAGATTTTTCTTTTTCATTTATTGAGCTTTGGCTATGAATGGTTGATTGACCTAAATCGTCAACCAAATGTCACTTTATGTTGCGTTCAGAAATTCGATTTAAAACTTTCGTTTACATATAGGATGCATGTTCGTATGTGACCTGCATGATTATTCATAACTACTCCGGCGGTAATGCAAAGATGAGCGGAATTGAAGAGCTACATTCTGATTAATGTTTTTCCTCACACAGTCTTTAAAGAAATATTATTAAAAATCTGTTTTTTTTTTCTCAATCTTAGTAAGTTAATTTTATTAAAATATCTGATGTTTTTTCTCACTTAATCTTAGTAAATAAGTTTTACTAAATAGAACCTTTTTTTTGCTCACTCTACCTATTTGGTTTGAATTGACAGCTATGACGTCACAAAATGGCGCCCAGTCGGTCCTATTCTTAGCTGAATCGCATTATATAGGAAGGTTTATGAAATTGTCAAACTATAGAAACATTAAATGTTTAATAGAGACAGTTTTCTATTATGTTTAAGATATCCAGCACTTCGTTAGCGTCCATTATTGCCGCAACTCTTGATGGATTAAAGCCAATCAATTGAAATGCTCTTCTGTCTGTGTGTTGCGAAGATATTATTTTAATCGGCGTGAGATGAAGAAAGATCGCTCGGTAATGCTAGTAGTTACTGGAGACGTGCACAGCAATAGGGTATTTGACAAGTTTTAGAAGACGATCCCACGTTAATTACTAATGTTTATGGAGTCCATAAAAAGTGGATATTTTTAATTCTATTGTATAATTCTGGAAAAAAAAACTAAATTAAAAATTCAATTTTCAAGTTGCCGCGAAAACGTTTTTCTGAACAATATGGCGTCTTACTAGTATGTGACGTCACACGACTGTTATTAAAACGTCAAACGTTACAATGTAATGTCACTTTAACCGGAAGTTTACTTGCGTGTGACGTCATTTTAGGCTCCGCCAATCCCAAGCGTTTTGGGTCACGTGACAATAGATAAGAAAACAATTATCTTTTTCGTGGGTTTTTAGTAAAATTATGAATATTTTTTTTTTGTAAAAATACTAAAAACCCCTGTCTATATTTATTCTAAACACAGATGCTAACAATTGGCACTTGATTTTTAATACTGTCAAATAGCCTATTGAATTACTCCGAAACGGCTCGACCGATTTTCGTGAAATTTTATATGCATATTCAGTTGGTCTGAGATTCGGCCAACATCTATTTTTCTTCCTCATAAATGTTAATGGTGGTCCAACTTTAATTTTTTTAGGACAATTTTTTTTGTTTTATTTTTTTTAAAATACAAACTACCCTAAATTTTCACCCTTCTACCACCAACCCCTATTTTTATTATGGCGGTACGAAGTTAGCTGGGACAGCTAGTAATGTATATATAAATATATATATATATATGTTACCTCTGAGTAAATAAAGCCAGTAGATGCGTGAGATAGTGCGTGAATTTGGTTCCCGTCGTAGCCAGTAATAAAGCAGAATGACAGCGAAGTGTGGCCGTTAGCCACGTACAAACTGAGGCGCATCTGTTTGGGAAAAGATAATATGTGTTAGAACTTAAAGAAAATTTTACTAGAAAAAATTCCATACGGTCCAGATTTCAGAAGGGTTTTTGGATTTGAAACTGGTATCTTTCGCTTTTCAGGCAGATTATTGACAATCATTTATTTATTTATTTATTAAGGACAGCCAACAAAACAAACACAAAATAAAAGTACAAACTGAGAAAGAAATAAAGAAGACAATTCTTAGTGCTGCCTTACATAAAGGCTGCCACTGCATGCGTAAAAAAATTACTTACGAAGTAGACTTACGATAAACAAAATAAGGGAATCTAGTGCAAACACTTCAAAAATACAAAACTAAATATTAGGTACATATTCATATACATTCTAACATCATTCTCCAGACCCAAAACCAGATCTTACACCAGTCCCTCACTTGCACTCTGTATTGAGAATGACAAGGATACACTGCCGCCTAATCCAAGTCTAGGCCTAGAGAACGCTGCCAGAATCGACGCCGTTGTGGTGGTATGCTTAAAATTCAAAAAAATTCAATATCGTTTATTCAGTCTAGGCTGTTACAAGCACTTGTGAATGTCGAAAAGCTACGCCATCGGTTCGCAAAACTACGGCGGGAGACTTTGTACTGAGAAGAACCGGCAAGAAACTCAGCAAGGGCTGCTTTTTTCTCCCTGTTATATTTCATACAGTGTCGTCCAATTGAAAGTTGACATCAAACTTGCAAACATGTGTTGAGGTCAACTTCCATCACATTAACAATAATATGATTTGATCTTTGTACCCCAAAGGAGTCTAAAAGAGTATAGAGATATCATAGAGTGAGGAGCTGGCGAACGAAACGGTATAATAACATAAAATTAAAAGTTGACAGGAGCAGTATAAAACTACAGTGAGCTTTAGGGTTTTGATTGAACATTTGCTTTGATAAAAACTTGTACATCATGTGATTACCTACAACTTTGCTATAGTTATAATTTTAATTTTTAAGCATGTAACTGCTTGATGTTTAAATCTGAAGAAAATATAACTAGAAAAATTCCACGCGGACCAGGCAGCAGACGGGACTCGGACCAGCACCCTTCGCAATCCGGGCGAATGCACTGACCAATAGGGATGATGATTAATTTTTATTTCTTCCTTTATCAGGTAGATTATCAAAAAGTATTGGACACGTATTTTTTCTTTTTTCACATAATATAAACATTGCATAGATATATTGATTTGAAAAGTCGCATGACGTCACGTTTGAGTACACTTATAAGGGAAAATTCACTCAAAAGTGACTTCACGAGCCCCTACTCCCAAACTTTGACGCGCTATAACTTTGTCATTTTTTGGTTGATTGCCCAAAGAAAAAATACGTGTTCATTATTTTTTGATCATCTAACTGACGGACTAAATGGAATTTCGTTTACTGTACCCCGTCATCACCCCTATTACGAATAAAGGAAGAATCAGAAAGGTCAGGGCAGCGGTAGCATAATTGGTCAGTGCATTCGCCCGGATTGCGAAGGGTGCGGGTTCGAGTCCCATCTGCTGCCTGGTCCGCGTGGAATTTTTTCTAGATATATTTTCTTTAGATTTCAACTTTGCTATAGATTTTTTTTTCGATAGGAGTTGTAGTTCTCCCCCCTTATTTTCCTATACGATTTTCAAAGACATACTTTCTTATTGTGAATGTATTTTAAAATTGGTGCAGCAGCGTTTTGAGTTTTTTTTTTTCGTTACAAACATACAAATCTTTCTCATTAACAGACTTCACAACGGAAGAGGTTCTCAATTCGGTTGGTATATCTATTTTTGAAGTTATACTTCTTTAGGCGCGTTATGAAAAAATGATGAGAGTGAAATTTTAAGATGCGCGCGCATCACTGTAACACAGAATTTTAACAGCATGATGTTGGTCGCTTTAGCGACCAACTTCATGCTGTTACTTTTGTGTTTACCGCACATTAAGAAAATCTACCAACAAAATAGAATTAGAATCTCTATTTAGTGGGTGCTAACGACTGCATTGTGAAGGCCTATCAAAAGTATTTATTAATCTGGAACAACGGAACCAAAGCGCGATTCAGGAGACTACAGCGCCATCTCTTGACCATTGGTGTAGTAGAACCAAAAACCACATCTTTATTTTTTGTAATAAAGTAACAGTTATAGGTATTCATATTTATAATACTTATCCACATGTTTCTAGTTTGTATATTCGGAGTACGTGTTTGAGTTTCATACAAGTGCAAATCACATATGTTGTAATAAATTAAATACAGTAGCGATTTTAATTGAATATTTTGATTATTTATTTATTTTTTCAAATTAAAACTGAACTTTATTGGCTGTGTCCTTTTCCAGACTTTTTATTAATTTATTGTAATTAATTATTTGCATGCAATTAAAAACTAATTTTAAACGATGCCAAAGAAGGATAACTTCTCACGCGCCTACATAAGTACACGCACCCATTTTTTTTTATATTACATTCTAGTTATAAGTATACTGGTGTCGATTCTGGCACAATTCTCTAAACTTAAAACTAAATTTAAAATCAGTCTATCCTTTTCATTCTGTATAGAGAATGACAAGGATACACTGTTATCAAATTTAAGTTTAGGTTTAGAGAAACATGCCAGAATTGACACCATTGACTGTCTAATTTTAATGGCGGACATATCTACCAGCAGTTTCACCAATAAAGGCACAAAGTTTGTAGTTTTTGAGTTTATTCGTTACAGTTAAATGATTAAAAAATAAATAAATTAATATAAGGTTAGTTTACCAGAAAAAAATCCACGCGGACCAGGCAGCGGACGGGACTCGAACCCGCATCCTTCGCAATCCGGGCGAATGCACTGACCATTATTTGACATTGTGGGTTGCCTGCAATGCGAAGAGATGGCGCTGCCTTGCAGCTTAAGGCTAGGAAAGTTTCGACGCGGTTAATAGGGCCGTGGTAGCATAATGGTCAGTGCATTCGCCCGGATTGCGAAGGATGCGGGTTCGAGTCCCGTCCGGTCCTGGCCTGGTCCGCGTGGATTTTTTTCTGGTAAACTTTTCTTTAGATTTAAACATCTAGCAGTTAAATGCTTAAAAAATAAATAAAATCATAATATAAGGTTACTGACTGGCTAGTTTTCCTGGCGGCCATGTCTGCCAACTGTTCCAACAATAAAGGCACGTAGTTTGTTGGCAACGCGGACACTGTCTGATTGGCAACACTGGCATCATTCTTCTGCAGAACCGTCAGGATTAAGCTGCAAATTAAGAACAATTTTTTTTTAGATAAATCATAACTCTCCTGTAGAGGCAGTCGCGTAAAAAGTATATTTAAGAATGTTAATTTTGTTACACAATAAAGACTTCAGTCATAGCTTTAATCCTCACTAATATTATAAATGCGAAAATGAGTTTTTGTTAAGCTTTCACGGTCGTCAGCCCGTATACGGGTGCACGAAAGACATTATTCGAATTCGGGCACTTGAAGCAACGATATTAAATACCCTAGATACACCAACACGAACGAAATCGTGACCGAAACGTGTCCTAAAGGTAAATTGTAGTACAGTCAATCTGTAGGTTGAGTGGTGAAAAAAAAACCTTAAGGGTAAGTCTTGTTTTTTCTGTTGCCAAATGACGTCAGTAAGCCACCTTGGCGATGGGCATGTTCAACTCGTAGGCGTTTTTTGAAAAATTCAAAAAAACCCCCAAAATTTTTTTGAATCGCATTTTTCTTGTTTTGTATGCATTTTAGAAACTTTTTTTCGACCATAATTGTAGAGGACGTTGAGTGCTACAATTTATGTCATTGTTGCAATCTCGTACAACAAAAAATGCGCCTTGTAGGTGGCGCTAAAGTCTCAAAAAAAGTGTTTTTACACTTTTTCACCCTGAAAATAACATTTTAATGGAAAACTTTAAATAGAAAAGTGGTTCCGTACATAATTACCAACTACTTTTGTAAAAACATTTTTTTTGTATTGCTTACCGTTTTCATAAACTGTTACCGTTTTCGTAAAATGATCGCGTGGTCAAAAACGATATAAGCATTATTTAAACATTGAAAGTCACCCTTAATGCATACTGTATAAGGTCCTCATTAAAACGCATGCGTCAAAGACTTCTGACAGTCCGAAATGCGAGCTCGTAAAATTTTACGACTTATTGCTATATGCGGAAGAATATAGACCTTATTCTTTTGACTCTACGCGCAATTTTGAATGCGCTGTTAGCAATATAGCAAGTACTGACCGCGAGGAAAAGAGACGGTTATATGGCAACGTATAATGGACCACGCATTTGAATATCACAAATATATTAAATCAGTTTATAGTAAGTATTAGAACAAAATTTGCTTCAAATGCGTTAAATTAACAAACGTTGATTAGATACCTGTCGAAAAAACGTCACTTTTCGTACTCTAAGTATTATTTTCGCATTTTTTCTTGGCTTTGTAACGGTCCGCGCGTGACTGGGAACCAAGAAGTGCTTGAGTCGTGTTCAAGCACTTCTTGATTGGGACACATTTTAAGCGCTCGTGATGTATCTAGGGTATTTAATATCGTTGAGGTGAAGCAATATTTACACTGGAATACGGACTGAAAGGCGGTGTCGGGTAACCATAACAAAAACTACCCGAATCTTAGATTAAAACAAAAAGGGTAGATATGGCACTCGACGCTCAAAAGTGATCCGCTTAACATTATAGCTATTAACGGGATTGTTACCATGTACCTTTTTTTTTATGAGTCTCCTTAGATTAAAACAAAAAGGGTAGATACGGTACGCTCATACTGGCATCAAATAAAATATGCTCCGACTCAACTACATAAGCAACTCTCGCCACGCACACGTCTGTATATAAACATCAAACGCAGCGTATTGTTGTCCTTTTCTTGCTTACAAAATGGCGATTACGTAAATAATATTCACGACAAACCGTGATTTCTGAGAAAAAAATGTTTTCACAGTTTTACGAATAAAAAGTGTTACCAGGAGCTCTACTCTCTTTCTCCGAAACGAAATTTCGGTAACGAACGAATTTCAAACGAAATTTCGCCAGTGTCTCTACTCTATTTCATTTTCGAACAGACACATTAACTTCGGAACCATAAACAGTTTTCGTGAACGAATGGAATGAGTCATGTTTGTGAGTTCTTTTTATCTCTACTTTTAAGAAAACTTTTTTTTACTTGGAAACTATAAAGGTAGGTTACGGCAAATTTTTTGATGACATTAAAAGAACCTTCTTTGACAGTGTTAGCCGACTAATTTGTAGAGTCGATACAATCTACTGTATGTCAACCTCAATTTGTCGTTTAATACTTTGAAGTATCGAAATTACAAAAAATAATAAAAAAATGGTTTATTTGTTAATTTTACATGCTAAAAATGTTACTCGAGCTAAGCAGCTATTATTAAAAATACTCTTGCAAGTATTTTAGGCTTAATTAAAACAAAAATCTCAAAACGAAAATGAAAAGGTAACACTTTTCATTTCGTCGATTTGAGGTTAAAATTTCGAACAATTATTTGTCAAATTCAACTTTTCCTTCGAAAGTTTTGTGAATTAGAGTAGGCTTGGAGAATTTAATTGTCAAAATATTTCGGACGAACGAATTTTCGAAATGAAAAGGAAACAGAGTAGGGAACGTGCGAAATTTCGATCGAAATTTCGTTTTTCGTTGAAATAGAGTAGGCCTCCAGGGCATTTGATTTTGAACTATTTGTGTTCTTTATAAAAGCATCGCAGGCATTGTTATATCTTCCTAACACAGAATATACGCAATATTGTTATATTGAGTGTACATGCAGCGTGTTTGAATGTCATATTGTGACTAAAGCGAATTATGGTCGTGAACCACAATTTAAGCGGATCACTTTTGAGCCGCAAATGCCGTATCTTCCCTTTTTGTTTTAATCTAAGTGTGTTTCCGATATTTCGGCACTGTTATAGCGCCATTATCACGGAGTCACTGAAGTAATTACGATTTCACAGGGACTCAACCAAAAACGCGTCTTAAGCGGGAAAGCGTATTACGCGGGATTGCGGGCTGGCAAATTTCGAATGTAGGTATTAAATGTACAATATTTAAGAATAATACATATTATAAAAAATTCAGTGTATTATTATTTATTATTACGTTATTTAAATTAATCACTTATTTTAGTTATTGTGATCAAAAAGATTTAGAAGCATTAGCAATTACAAGTTTTTCAATAGATTTCAACTTTTGCAGTGTCTTCGCTCACTTATTTTAGTTTAGTTATTAATTATTATGTTCAAAAAGATTTCGAGGCATGAGCAATTACAAGATTTTCAATAGATTTCAAATTTTGCAGTGCGTCTTCGCTTTGATTAAAAAAATACATAGCGGCAAAATTCATTAACTGCTGATAATGCCTAGGCGTGTGAAATAATCGGAGTTGACTCATCTTCTTCTTGATCATTATCACTTAGGGCTTCTTCTTGTGTTAATCACATTCTCATTGAATTTTATGCTGCCGCAAGAGGTAATAATTGTGTGGTATTTGATGGCGATTAAGGCGTATTAAACGGGATGACGAATCATATTAAGCGTTAAGAAATGTATGAAAACATGTCTCAAGTAAACACAGCAAGAGTATTTTAATGACAAAGAATTAAAATGATGATTTTTCGATTTTTATTGTGATATAATTTATTTAATAATATAATGTGTAATTAATTTAATGCAATTTTATGACATAGAATTTTATTAATTTTATTGATAAGTAAGATTTTTGATGTGTTTTAAATTTATATTTATATAAAAAACAATTAACAAGCTCTTTAAAGCACATTGCTATGCCCTAGCCGGGTTCGTGCAAGGATCTAAATGAACGCTTTGTAACACCTCTGTACAACTACATGAAAAAGCAATTAAAGGCCTACACAGACGGAGACGGAATGGCAAGGGATTTAAATTTTTACTAATGGATATTCAACCGTACTGTTACATAAATACAACATAAATTGCTATGCTTTAAAATGATGCCGTGGCATTGTAAGGGATTTTATCGCACGGCATTAAAAGACGTGCCACAGGCTCCCGTGGCGGGATGCCATGGCATACTGCGGCAGGCAACGGCATGCCACGGACTCCGGCGCTCGTAGATATACTGCGGGGTGCGGCGGCAGGGGTAGACAAGCGGGGAATTTACCCTTTGATTCCCTTTCTTTCCATAGATTATCAACCCAAAATCTTCTTCTATCCCTATTATTAGCCTATGCACCTTCTTCATCTGCAATAATCGATATCAACACCAAATCCCAATCTACCATTTTAAAACTGAGGCACACCAACACATCAAACGCAACTGAAGACTTAATATGATTATGAAGTTACAGGGACTGATGCAAAATAGAGTAGACTATTCGAGAAATCGTATTAAGCGTGATCGTATTAAACGGGTTTTACAGTAAAATTCTTACTTCTTGTCCTTAGAGTGCAGTCCTTGTATGAGTAGTTTGGTCAGGTTCTGGTAGACGGCTGACTTGCTCCGGCTCCTCGGGTCCAGTGAGAGGTTCTCGAGTCTCGCTTCCATTGGGATCTCCAACTGCAGAAAATGATTATTTTTTAATTATTTGTCAAAGCACACCTAAGAATGGTATATTTATTTTGTTTTTATTTATTTATTTATATTGGCACTATAACAGGCAGCAGACAAAAAAAAAATTATATATAAATAATTAATGTATATTCGGAACCAAATTTGCAAAACAACAAACAATAATGAATTGATTATTGCTAACTTTTTAATTCGCCAGATGCTGAAATACCAGTGATAGAATAAAAATATTTGAGGATTAGCCGATGAGTTGGTTTTAAGAAGGCCAAACCGATCACAGTTCCGGGAATTTCAGAGATGCTTTTTTTAGATGTCTATTTGAAATTTATGCAGCAATTATTACGACCTCCGTGACCGAGTGGTTCGTACGCCGGGTTTCATGGTGTCGCCGACTCGAGAGGTCCCGGGTTCAAATCCCGGTGGGGCAAATGTTTGTGTAATGAATACGGGCATTTATACCTAAGTCATAGCTGTTTATATAATGTATTTCTAAATCAAATATACTTATATATCCGTTACCCCATAACACAAACCCTTACATTACAGTGCTTACTTTGGGCTCGAATAATTGGTATGTGCGTGTTAGAAATATTTACATATTTATCTTAGAAAGCCGAGAAAACTGTAGTAATAAAAAAGGAAAAACTTAATAAGTAATAATTTTCAGAGATGGCAGATGTTTTTGTGATAATACGAGCATTTGTACACTGGTCGTCCATCAAAAATATCTAATAGAGAATAAATTGTGTATACTAGCCTTTTCTCCCGGCGCCGTTCGCTTCCTGGCGACGCCGCCCATTGGCTCCACGTAATTGACGTCATTGGTGACGTCAGCACGGACTTTGTTCACATCATTGTTGGTCTGTTTGTTTTTCTTCTTGGCCGATTTACTCTCTCCTCTGATTAAGACTTGGGTCTTGGATGTTAGGTCTGGGTTCTGTGGAGGTTTTGGGTTGTTAATTTTGTTAATTTAGGGAATATTTTGAAATATGGCCATTTTGGCCGCTACATAGGTATGACAAATAAATGATTAAAGATTAACTGACCAGCTTCTCAAACAGCATACCCGGCCCCATGGAGTAGCCCAGCAATATACTGCTGTCGTGGAGTCGACAGCACTGCAGCGGTAACGGCACTGCCTCCGCACTCGACACTTGAACCGTTACCGAAGGCTTCACGGGTTTGGTGGATGTCCTAAATATAAAGAAAGAAAGAAAATAATTTTTATTAACCCTTAAATGTGTTTTTAAGGGTTAATAAAAATTATTTTCTTAAAGGTACTTATATAGTTAGGGCTAACCAGTACTCTAGCCTCTAACCTCAGCATTAGCTGATGCTGTGCCGCACCAGCGCTGATATATAAATGTTTACCTTTACCTTTCCTTTAATATACTTATTCTTTCCATTCTATTATTATAATAATAATAATTTATTTATTTCAACCATAAAGATCATAGCATGCCAATGCCAAAATAATAATAAATAGTAATAATTACATACAATTACATTTAAAACAAAAAAAATAAATTCAATCGGTTTTAAACCTATTAACAGTTTCAAAATATAAAATGTCAAAATTTAAAATGGTAAAATAAAAATTAAATGTCAAAATTAAAATGTTATAATTGAAATATCAGAATTGAAAGTTATATTAATTTGGTAGAGATTAATGCTTATATTATATACACATAACAAACTTTTATATAGTCACTACATGAATCATAGCCGCATGGTTCATATACTGACAGTCAAATCTATTTGAAAAGAGTTTCAGGATTGTATTGTAATTTTTTTTATTAAGAATCAAGATTATTTATGTTTTGCCGTATTTTGTTGTTAAGAGGGCTAACATGATTAATGTCTGTTATATCAGTTGAATACCGTTAGGCTTAGTTGTTAACTAGCTACCGGTGTCGATTCTGAAATGATTCTCTAAAATTAAAACTAGATTTACCACAAGTCTCCCTATTTCATTCTGTATAGAGAATGACAAGGATACACTGTTGTCAGATTTTAGTTCAGAATCAACACTAATAACCAAGTTAACCTAATTACTTCAAAATATATTGAAAAATTAGGAGAAAACTACATTGGAGGTCATTGTTTTTCTGTTTGTATAAAGCTTGTATAAAACACTATAGCTATCAAAATCAGAAACACAAAAAAACAGCTCAACATTTCATGATTATTGTCGTATTCTGAATTGCCATTTGTTATTTTTTTCAATACAAAACTGCTTACAGACAGTAAAAAAAATTATATCTTACCCACTTAACATATGTGTATAAAAGTGCACTACGCCACTTCTCGTGGCTGCTGCCAAATTCAACACATTCCCATCATTTTCTTGTCGTAGTCGTACATCAATAAACCTGGGAGCATCCTCTAGTACGAAGCTGTATGCCGGTGTGGAGGGTGACAATGTGATCGACTTTTTACGCTGCCTTTTACTGGGTGTTGAATCGTCCCCATTTACTTGTGGTATGTAGTCTGCTGTTACAGTAATATCCCAGAATGATAGTAGTCGCTCATTACTATGAAAAAAAAAACATTAAAGTTTGTTATAAAATCTTGTAATATACCTTATTAATGGCAATTTAATGTGTAAGTATTACTAGAATAAATTTGCAAAATACATGTTATCATCATCATCATCATCAGCCTATTAAGTCCCCACTGCTGGGGCACAGGCCTTCCCTGTGGATGGAATAGGGAGATTGGGCCATGACCCAGCACACGGGACCAGTGCGGATTGGAAGGGTGCTAACAACTGCAAATGCAGCCGGGACCAACGGCTTAACGTGCCTTCCGAAGCACGGAGGAACTCGAAATAGAAAATTTGGTCACCCATCCAATGACCGACCAATGCGAAAGTTGCTCAACTTCAACGATCGCAGCCGAATGCGCTAACCAGCCGAATGCATAAAAAACGTGATATAATGTAAATTGTGGTGCTCATGCTACAGGGACAGAATTGACAATGGTTGCATCAGGAGGGTAGGTATTTTTTGCTGTTCTTTCTAAACCCTGCTAGCTAAACTTAATAAACTTACAGTGAGCCTTCTAACAGCCAAGTCTCATTATTGTGGTTGACCACAGACAACAGTGCACCACTGCTGGTATTGTGGCCAAGCTTTTTCACAATGCTTGCACTTCCATCCTGTAGCTGCCACAAGCACACTTGCCATGATGCTGTGACTAGAAACTTAGCAGAGCTATTCTGTGAAATTAGAGGTCACAATTTATATATTGTAAATTTAAATAAAATTCTTTACTTACTTGATTACATATCAACACAAGATTAGTGTTACATAAATAGTAAGTATTTTCTATACAGTTAAGTGAATTTCAATATAAAAGGATACAAAGATCCTTTTAATAATATATTTGAGTTATTATATTATTGTATATATTTTTAGTTTTAGGTTCATTGTTCTAGTATATGCAGTGTAAACTCTAGTATAAACACTGTACATTTTATGGCGTTATAGAGAGTGGTTGTTAAATGGAAAGAAGAAATATTATGAATTATGAAATGAAAAAGTTTATTTCAAGCTAATAGTTATATACATCTTATCAAAAAATATCTTATTTGAATGCTATTGTGTATATTCTGTTATTTCTGTTTGACGTATGTTGTATTATATATTTTTTAGTTATGGTCAAACAACAGTCTACACGTGCAATCCCAATTTGTAAACAAAAGAACGAATTTCTTCAAAGTTTGGTTTGCATGATGCCGGCAGTCGAGTTTATTACGGGATAGGATAATAAAGTGACAAAAGAACATACACAGCTGCACGATTTTCACTAATTTTGACAACTTATTACTTAATTGTTGACGTTATCGAGAGTGGGTGTAATGTTAAATGGAGTGTATCATTGTATGGAAAACAAACTAAACCAACCAAAGACAAGTAATTTCGACGCTTTAGGGAGTTTGTCGTTAAATCGAGTGACGTTACATGGAGTTTACACTGTATGTATTTTTTTATTTCTTTAATTAAGACAGATATTGTAAATTTCAACTTTAAAGAATAAAACAAGTTACATTATATAAAAGGATATGCTTATACTTCAACTATACTATGAAACTTAATGAAAATCCTCAGTAAAATTTACATTCATATTCTTATTTTAAAATATATAATATATCAAAGGTCGCTTGGGTCTTATGGGTTTGGGATTTAATCAAAATCTACAAAAAAAGATAAATATTAAAGTCTACTACATGTTTCTGCTGTTTAATTAATCAAAACTTTCGGGATTTTTTTTTTGGTTAACAAGCTGTGTAAAGGTATGTAAGTTTGTGTTGGCAAGGAGTTCATATCAATAATAACAAATTTATTGATATCATTACCTAACTACATGTGAGAAAATGAGAATTTTAGGTTGCATGTCACATTGATTTTGGTTTAAACTTACAAACATATTTTACACTTTTACCAAGTCAAATTTAACAACAACCATTGGTTTTCCTACCAAATCAATATCGTCCTGATCTCTATTTCATAAATTAGAAGGGCAACACTTACCTGTTTATGAGGCACTATCTTGATTGCACTAACACTCCCTTGTTTTCCATTGTCAATTGTAACATTGTACTTATTTCTAACCTTGCCACTCTGTAAGTCCCACTCTATAGCTTGCCCGGACTTACTACAGCTGTATAAGCCGTAACGTCTGTGCCAATCGAGTGTTGTTATATTACGATTTGACTGTTTACTATCAGAGATAACATTTTCTACTTTAGCTTGGGTCACAGAATAGAGGAGAATTTTTCCACTTGTCGTTCCTAATACTATACACTGGGTTTCTTGTTCGCTGAAACTCTGTTTTCGCTTTCCGCCTTTTTGTGGAGAACCCTGAAAAGGTTACGTTTGAGGTTATTTCAAAATAAGTGAAATACTTTTCGAAAGTCCAAGGTAAGACATTTTAATAAGAGTATTACAATGCTATATCAAATATAAGCAAATTCACTTTATGAAGACCGTAAATACAGAAAACTAAGCGTAATTTAACCACGTGTTACTTACAGCTGAACTTGAGACGATTATCCATTGCAAACAAGAAGGTGGTGAGGTCAAATGTAAATCTGGCGTGTATTCTTGCTTAAGAACATTTGTCTCCGTGTCCCATATCTTCAATCTACCGTCCTTAGATATAATAGAATAATATTTTCCGTCTTCGGAAAACGCGGACACTGCCATGTTTCATGTCTATCTGATAGATGTGAAGAAATGACATTGACATTTCAATGGATAGTGTGGTGTGGTGTGCGACTGGCGATGGACTGGCGTCTTTTTATACAGCCATATCTACAGCCTAAAATATAATTATGAACTGTATCAGAAATGAAGAAGTGTTAAAATTAGAACTTTAATTAACTGAATGCTATTAGTAACAGGATTTACAGTTAAAAGTATTTAAAAAGCTGTAATATTTTATCAAAATTTATTTGACAGAGCAGTAATGACTATGCGTATAACGAAGTGTTTTCTTCTTAATTAGGTTGCCAGTAATAATAACTATCAGTTTTTATCATAATTAAATTAATTATTTGGTGTCAACTTATTATTTTTTCCTTATTTTTAAAACATTTTGTGTTCTTAAATAATATTTATATATAATTTTCAATGCGTTTTTCGATGATGTTGCCATAATTCCGTTGGAAATGTTCCGTCCGTTCCGTTCGCAAAATGTAGTTAGATTCCGAACGTCACGAACACTTGTCATGTCATTTCACGGCTTTCGGTTGTCCGTGGTCGCGATTGTAGGCGGAGTTCGTTACAATTATTTTTTAGTATAGTGTTCTCGTTCCACTTTTCGAAAGTCTTCTTTTTATTTACTTATATGTAGAGTGCTTTGTGCTGTGCTTTATATCCTGTTTCTAGTTAGTGAAGTGCTGAAAGGCATTGCCTATTTTCTTGCTATGATTTTGTGAATATGATGTCACTTTTCTCTTTAGAACCTTGAAAACATGAGTGCTAGTGTCGAAACGGACGTGTCCAGCCCTTTATCCGAAGGGCAGAGCGGTACATCGGATAGAATATCCAAGTCATCATCCGAAAGCCAGAGTTTGAGCAAAAATGAAGCAATCGTTTCGGACCACGAAAACAAAGACAACAAGTCTGAACCGACGACACCAAAGCCCCATCCTATGGCCTTTACGATAGATTTTGGCAGTTCCAAGCCCTTCGATAATCGCAGACTGGAAGAGCTAGCCAAGAAATCTCAGGCGAGACATCAAAGAGTCCAGTCGATGTCTGCAAACCTGACTAGGCCTGCACCAGCTGTTCAAAAACCTCCAATGAGTGCGAAATTGCCACGAAAGGCGCAAGGATATAACTCTGAAGGCTACTTCTCCTCAGACCAAGAAGATAGTGGTCTGTCAGGTTCCATAAAATTGCGTCAGAGTCCCATGTCTCAAAGTATGTATGTCACTTCCCCAACCATCAACAGGCATGTGAAATCTCCAATAGACTCATTCCAGCATAAAAGAATATCCAAAAGTCCTATAGTTGATAGTATTATGTCCAGAAGTGATAACTTCACATCGAGACAAGCTTTGAACTTGCCTTTGAAAAATGCAAATTCCTACACAAAAGAAGTTCATAGAACACCAAGTTACGGTAATTTATCTTCTAGCTACCAATCCAAAAATATGGCTGATATAATGGACCAGAGTCCTGAGGGAGTGATGCTCACTGATATCTCTAGTCCAGAACTAGATGTTTTGACTCCTGACAATGGTTTATCGACACCTGAACATTCAAAGAGCCCTCTCACTAGGAAAAGTAGAGCTTCTTCAGAAACACCTGACCTGTTCAAGAGGTGTGTACCAAAAGTAGAATCTTTGTATGTGGATGATGAGATTGACAGAGTATCAGAGAATTCATCAACAGGCACTTATACAATAGAAGGTGACAATTACACTGAAGAACAAAAGGCTAGAATGAGTATTGATAGGACATTCGGCTCTAATATTATCAAAGAAGATATAGAGGAGACTATAAACAAAAGAGAAAGCACTGAAAGGGACCCAGAGCTAATCTTTGACTTCCAAAACCCTAGAGTTATCACAAAGGAACCTAGAAGAGATGTAGGACTTAGGAGTCCAATATTAACAAGTAATACTTTTGACATGCCTAGTAAAGTTTCCAAAGACAAGAATGTCTTAGAAATCTCATGTTGTTACGAATCTCCTACTGAACATGATTTAGCTGCTCAGACTACTAAGCAGATAAAATCAACTCGGAGTTACTTGGAAAAGATTAAGAATAGGGTGCGCAATATAACTGAGAAAACGTTTCCTAAATCTCCACCGAAGCATGAAATTGATGCTGACGTGGGTAGTTTCACTTCTGTGACTACTTCCGGTGTACTGAGCTCGAAGAATCCTCCAAAAATAGAACCCCCAGTAAGGAGAAGGTGCAGTTTAACAAAATCGGAAATTGATCAAACTGATTACATTCATCGTTTATCAAGAGAATCATCAGTGCCAGTATCTTTACCGAGTAACAAGCCGTTAATTTTCGATAATGCAAAATTCGAGAGTACTGCATTGAAAAATGCTCAAAAAGCTTTAAGGGATGACAGCGGAGTCTGCTCAGACGTAACACCAAACAAAGTTGTGGGGAGACTGTCACATTTGAGCTTGAATCGGTGTAAAGGTGACAAGACCTGGATACAGGATTGGGCTGAGAGTGTAAAGAAATACAACAACAATACTCTGGCTACAAAAGATGAATTGAACAGTACCTTTGTAGTTGACTTGGATGCCGATAGACCTCCAGTTAGCCCTCGACATCATCCAGGGAAACGTGAGTATTGCTATATTTCATATGTTTAAAATTATGTTTTGTTGAATGAATTGAATTTGCAAAATGAGATCTTGTTCTAGAAATTAAGTCTTATTTTTCTTCCTATAATCAACTGAATCTGAATTTTTTGGGGTTCAGTGCACATTATGCATATAGTTTTCAATCATAATTTCCTAATAGCTGTCGAATTATCAATTTTTTTTCATACATTAGCTATAGCATAGTTAGCTATTATCTATTTTACCTATCAATAATTTCTGGCACTATTTTTTTTGTTAGTTAGTTTGTTAGTATTTTAATAAGTATTATAACACTATTTAAACAACTTTTATTTAACTTTTCATATTATCTGTCTTCAGACTATACCTACCAAATTAAGTAATTATTTATACAATTAAAACTAATATATTAAATAAATTCTAACATTGGATAGTTTACAAGCACAAACGAAAAATTTGTACTTCTTGTACTTGTATTAAAAAAAAATACCCAAACACATTTACAGATTTATTTATCAAACATAAACATACATTTTTTTATGTATTGAATTCGCTTTATTAAAAGTATACTAAGTCCTATTTTTTATATTCTTCGAGTTGCCTTATCGAGAGTGTATCAAAATATATTTATCAATCAATGATCATATTCTGTAGAATTAATTTAATAGGAACGATTTTCTTTTTTTTAATTTATCTATCTGGTAGGTCAAAAAGTATTGCATATGTATTTTACTATATTCAAATACATATTCAAAACATTACAAAGATACATTAATTTAAAATGTTGTGGAACAATTTGTTACTTAAAAGTGATATCATGAGCTTTGAGGTGATTAATGTAATTGCTATTTATGGTTAATTGTATAATTAAAAAAAATATGTCTATTATTTTTTACTGAAGTAACTGGCATACATAATAGAATTTTGTGTCATCATCCCTATTCAACAGCTGATAAAGTTTTTGTTCCCATTCACTATCAAAATGTCTGAATGAGACCATCACTATAATAATATTGAACCTCTGTACCATTATACAAATGCAAAAATACACATTTATTCTTTATCTAACAATAATAAAATAAATGTGACTCACTTTAGTTTGTTTATATCACAACATCTTATCATCAAGTAACAGAAAAAATCTGCCGCGCTACAATAAGCCTAACGACATTGTATTAAGAGTCTATAGTCTTTAAAAGGAAATGAGCTGTTATGCTATGATAATCTATCATTCATTGCGTCACATATGCATACTGGAGATGGTTGTGAGTATTTTATTGCACCCTACGTAATCTGAAAATGAAAATATATTTATTGGAACTAATTAAGGTTACATGTATAATTAGGTTAGGTTAGGCTAGTGCAGTTATTCATAAAAATTAAAACAGTTTAATAAACCTGTTTTAACTATTGCAATGTTTTGTCACTGTCTCTCAAATCTTGACAGTGCTAAGAAAGAACGAGATAAAACAGTGTTTTAGCTAAAACAGTTTTATTAAACTGTTTTCATTTTTATGAATAAGAGCGTAAATATATACGTATCTAATACAATGTAGTATTAAAAGTTATTAACGATCATCATCATCATCAATAGCCCATCTTAGTCCACTGCTGGACATAGGCCTCTCCAATTGCACGCCACTCGGATCGATCTTGGGCTACTCGCATCCAGCTCCTGCCTCCTTGCGTAAATCGTCACTCCATCGTGCCTGAGGACGTCCTACACTTCGTTTGCCTAGACACGGTCTCCACTCCAGAACTCGTCTACCCCAAGGTTATTGGTTCTTCGGCAAATTTGGCCAGCCCACTGCCACTTGAGCTTGCTAATCCAGTGGCCTATGTCGATTACTCTGGTTCGCTGTCGAATTACCTCATTTCTGATGCGATCCTTGAGAGAAACGCCGAGCATAGCCCTTTCCATAACGCGCTGAACGACTTTGAACCTGTGGACCAGCCGTACCGTCAGTGTCTAAACGATCACAGGTATTAACGACGTATGTACTGAATGGCGATCGCCACTTTGCTTGCCTTCGTGTAATAGTAATACATAATTGATGTAACAATGACAAAAGAGCTTTTTATTGAAAAAGCCATCTCTCACGCCCGAAACGATTTCTTACAAATGTTCTGCTATTTTGTGACATACAGTAGACCAGTCCCTGAAGTATGAGCACTACAATTTACAGTATATCACGTTTTTTATCGCGTCTAACTGTCAAAATCCATAGTAATTTGACAATTGAGCGTGATAAAAACGCGTTATATATCTTATCGCGGTGCTCATGTTAGGGAGGCTTGGATGGGGAAACTACGGCCCGCGGGCAATCTTCGGTCCTCGAATGGTTCAATTCCGGTCTGCGACCGTCAAATAAAAACCAAATTCAAATCCCACAGTGCAAAGTACCCCGCGTAAGATTTAAATAGTCAATGTTGGTACGCTAAGGTACAAGTTTGCCCCATCCCTGGTGTAGGCTGAAGTCAGAAAGTGGAAAGAGTGAAATGAAATGAAAACCCAGCGAAGAGCGAATCAGACCCGCTCACCCAGGATTTCATACCATGCTATCATCATGCAAAAACACTAATAAAATCACATCCCTTCTATTTTATCTCTTTAACTAGGGACCAATCAGACCCCTTTTTCCCAGTGGACACTTTGAGCAAGTGCCCAGGGCCTCGCGATCGATAGGGGCCCCTCTCAGATGAAATACAAGGTCCCTTGTTCCTGTTAAATCACCAAACGGGGGTCATAGGGTTCCCCTTATCTTAATATGCCCAAGGCCTCCAATAGGTCAAAGACTGGGGCCAATACAATAAAGTAAACATTCAACGTTAATGAGGAGCTGAGTGAGCGCGTTCGGCTGCGATCGTTGAAGTTAAGCAACTTTCGCAGTGGTCGGTCATTGGATGGGTGACCAAAAATGTATTATCACGAGCTTCTCCGTGCTTCACGTTAAGCTGTTGGTCCCGGCTGCATCTGCAATCGTTAGCACCCACCAATCCGCACTGGGCCGGCGTGGTGGGTCATGGCCCAATCTTCCATAGCGAAGGTGTTGCCCCAGCAGTGGGGGACATTAATGGGCTGATGATGATGACCATTTTTCAAATCGTAAGTGGCCTGAGCAAAACCTAGGTCCGCCATATAGTCTGATAGTAAATAAGGAAAAACTTTGCCCATTCCTGCTATATAGAATGAAAAGGGGCGGCTGTAAAATTCACTCAAAAGCAAATACTAAAGTGTCGCCGCACACCGGCCACCGGCCACAACCACAAAACGCCGCCACCGGCTTATTTCTTGTAGTTTTCATACATTTTATATGGACACGCCACATACGGTACGCCGGTGGCCGCCACACGCTACAAATCGTCGTTGCTCGCTTCTTGTGGCCCGCACCGGCCACTTAATGCGCCGATACAAAACGCCGCCACACGTCACTCGCGCGATTCCCCTCACCTCTCTCCCTTACCTTAGTCGGCCGCTGTCGCGCGCTTCAGCCATTTTAGTAGCCGCTTCTAGCTTCACGAGGCGGCGCGTTTGTGGCTGTGGCGTGTGGCCCATGTACGGCGACACAAAGTCCATGTGAAGTGAAAAGTGCTTCTATTAGGTACTGGTACTGTTCGGTTGACTAGATTCTTAACTGCAGTCGACTTGCCGAGTTAAGTGATGCTATGATGAACCATATTCTAGGTTCTGTTTTTGTTTTTGATGTCTAACATCTTTCCTCACGCTTTCCTGCAATTTGTGGGAGTGATTACGTGAAGTGGGACGGAAGTGTGTAACAGGAAGTTTAGGAAGCGCGCGCTTTTTGATTTGATTTTAGAACAGAATGTTCAAATGGCTTATTCCTTTTGTAGTAGGTTTTATTTCTTTTGATGTGTAACATCTTTCCTCTCGCTTTCGTGCAATTTGTGGGTGTGATTATGTGAAGTGGGACGGAAGTGTGTAACAGGAAGTTTGGGAAGCGCGCGCTATTTAATTTGATTTTAGAACAGAATGTTCAAATGGCTTATTCCTTTTGTAGTAGGTTTCATTTCTTTTCTTACTAATATAAGGTGTATATAAGGTACATAAGGTACTTTACCTGATTGTAAGTTACGTCTAGACTCCAAGTGGAGTCTAGACGCGAAGATAGATGATGATGCGGCAGAAAGTGTGCCGCTACAACCATCCTCACCTTGTCGGCCTGAATCCATTCTCCTAACCCCATGGATCCTGGGACCTTACTTACCAGCAGAAACACAACACCACCAAAAGGTAGAGTTACTGTGGTCTTCCGTAAGGCGGAGGTTGCTTCCGCAAGAATTTTAAATAAAGTACTTTATTAACTAAATTAACTAATAAATTCATACATAGACAACAAAATTTTAAAAATCTTCCAATGAAATAACCGAACGCTCAAGGTAGCTCGACAAAATTAAATAAAATATCAGTATTCTGACGATGCAGACCTGAAAAGGCTGCGAAACGCCAATAAATAAATAAAGTTTCGTGCACTAACCCGTTAAAACTAGTTTTATTTATATCAAATAAGTCAAATAATCTTTATTTAGTTCTCATTAATTTAAAACAAAATATAAATAATGTTTAATGAGTAAATTTAAGAATAATTAAAACAAAACACAATTAATATAAATTATCTTTAAAAATCAACAACGAGACCCCCTTCGCGATGCGAGCGTCTGCTACCACGCGTATAATATCACTGTAACTAAGTGGGTGATGTTTGCATTTTGTGACTAAAATGTCCAGACTTTTATCGAAATGTCCGGTTTTTTGTCAGGACTTTTCAAAATTTTTAATAGTACCCCTAGGTGTATGGGACTATGATTTTTTTCTACATCGAAAAAAAGGTAGTACATCTTGTGATGTGTCGAATAATTCATCGTTTGTTTCATCACAAACGAATGTTTCCGATGCGGAAGTGACTTTAATTAAAGTGACTGACCCTCAACTTCTTCAATTTATGTTTAAAAATTTTGTTGCCGAGGTCATTGATTTGTGAACGAAAAATGTTATTAAAATTTCACAAGTTTGGTTCGGTCTCAAGTACCTACCTACGATAGGGGATTGAACTTTTGGTTACAGTAGCTTTCTTTGATTAAAGGTTAATGACCTATAATTGTTCGTCTTTTGTTTTAAGCGAGGTTCACATGTTTTTATTTTTATGCTAGTATCTAAAGCCTTGATGAGAAAAAAGCTCGCTCATTCACTAAAACATATACAAGAGGTGGATAAAATAGTGTGCGTTCTCGAGAGACTGCCTAACACTTTAAGATAACAAACAGCTAAAATTATAAACCCTTTGGTATATATATTATCATCATCATCATCAACAGCCTATCCTAGTCCACTGCTGGACATAGGCCTCTCCAAATGCACGCCACTCAGATCGATTTTGGGCTACTCGCATCCAGTTCCTGCCAGCCACCTTGCGCAAATCGTCACTCCGTCGTGCCTGAAGACGTCCTACACTACGTTTGCCTAGACGCGTACTCCACTCCCGAACTCGTCTACCCCAACGGTTATCGGTTCTTCGGCAAATATGGCCAGCCCACCACTGCCATTTCAACTTGCTAATCCGGTGGGCTATGTCGATAACTCTGGTTCTCTGTCGGATTACCTCATTCCTGATGCGATCCTTCAGAGAAACCCTTACCATAGCGCACTGAGCGACTTTGAACTTGTGGACTAGCCGTAGCGTCAGTGTCCATATATGTATACATATATATTATACTAGCGGCCCGCCCTCGCTTCGCTTCGGTGTAGAGCTGAAGTGTAGACTACAGTTTTTGTTCTCAGGCTTGTATTATACACAATGACATTCATCTATGATTCTTCTTATACCTGCATGCAAAGTCTCAGCCCGATCGGTTGAAAATAGACAAAGTTTCATACAAACTTTCATTCCCTATTTTATTCTTGGGGGTAGAATTGATCAAAATCCTTTCTTAGCAGATGCCTAAGTCATAACATCTACCTGCATGCCAAATTTCAGCCCGATTCGTCCAGTGGTTTGGGCTGTGCGTGGATAGATCACTATGTCAGTCAGTCACCTTTGAGTTTTATATATATATATATATATATATATATAGATTAGCCTTAAAAAATACTTTATATCTTCTTTGCAAATCGTTATAGGTTGATTTTTCAATTGTCTCAATTATCCATCACTTGAAATATTTATTACTCAATCAAAAGGAACGTACCTAATCCGCAATGGTTGACAAAAATGAAATGAATGACCTACTAAGATAAATACATTGGTGTCAAATCTTCACTCGTAATTTCATCAGATAAAATTCTGTGCTATCAATATCACCACGCCTGTTTTACCCAATTCTCCCCTTCCGGTGACCACTCGTAGTAGATATGCAAAGGATCTCCCTTTAATTTTGACGGATATGGATAAATGTTTTTCAATTCTAGTTAAAAAAAACACGACTTTAAAATGGTTCCTAATTGTTTTTGTTTGAGTTTTTTGTATGGAAACGTTACAGAACAGATGCTGACAAAGCTACTTTATTGGAATAAAAATTGACTTTATATTGGCAATAATTTATCACAGATAGACAAAGTTACATGAAACAACAAGTTTTACAATAAAATTATAAACACACATTTACCAACAATAGGACATTGAGAATATAAGAAAACCTTCATAAATTTTAATCTTGAGGTCACACCACACACCATGTAGGTTACCGTCTAGGTCGAACAAACCAAACACCACAAGTAGTATTCAAACAATAAATTACAAAATGTCGTTTGTGAAGGAACGACAAAAATATTATTTGCGTCTTTCATGTTTCATTACTTACTGTTATGTTTGCATCAATTTTTCAAAGTCGTATTAATTAGTTTTTAATTCAACTATATTTATTTAAAAATCAAAATTAATGCTGTAATAAATAGTATTATCAATTCTTTATTAATGTCCTCATTGATGGAGCAATAGCCTTCCTATGGAAGTAATGGGAAAACCGCATCATGACCACGCGGAGTCTGGGAGGAGCGTGAAATATGAAATTTGGCAAGAAGCTATGCCATCTAGCACAAGGAAATGATTTTTTTTAAAAAAGGAAAAGTCTTGGAATAAAAAATTTAATGGGAAAGTTGTCTAAAAAGTTATTTCTGCGATGAACGTACTATTTATTTACAATGCGCACAAGTTTTTACGAAATATTCGGTGTGGGAGAGGCGACTTGCACTTAACCTGTTTTTTTTTTGTTATAAAAGCTAACTGTTTCAATTGTCATATAATTTTCCCTATGACAAAAAAAATAGTTTTAATAGACTACTAACGCCAATAGAAGCGTTCTACCGTGTTAAAAGTGCGTTAAAAATCCGTTGTAACAAAGTAATTTGCATAAATTCGATGCCCACGCTCGAACAATGAGTGTTATGTTTCATGGTCGTTATGGTAATGTGTTTCGGAAATATGCGATCGGTTCTACTAGTCCAATGTGACGCAATACATATCTGTGCAAAAATATATTTTTACTTTTGTAATAATTTTAAAGAAAATTGTTTTTTTTTACTTTGAAAAGTCGATTTTAAGTCCTGACGCATTCTCGTTGCTCTAAATCAAGCATGACGCAATTTGCAACAAGAACTTTCTGACGCGTTTTCGCAAACATGACACTTTCGTTACACTGACGCATTCTCGTCACACGACCTGTTTTATCTGCTCCAGATTATTGTCATTTTAAACGTGTGTTTTGTTTTGTTTCAGCCCGCAGCCCTCTTGGTGGTAGTACACCCACTAAGATTCCCAGTCCGGTCGGCACGTTACTTCACAGGCGAACACCCGTAAGTTGAAATAAAATGAATAATTTATTGATCCTCATTTGGCAATATGATTCTCTAGTCTTGCCACCTTTGGGAGGCGATCAACGGCGGAAACGAGTTGCCAACTGTACCCTTAGTACGAGTTTAAAATTACGAAAACTATGATAGTTTTCGTAACTTAGGGTACTGTCTGAAATATTGATATGAAAATTTTGTATTTACAAGAATTTAGTGCCTCAGGAATGACTGTTTTTATGTTGCTGTTAAGTGACACTGTTGTCAAATGAAACGTTGCCAAAATATTGTTTGAGAATTGAAAATTCGATTTAGGTGTCGAAACATTTTCTCTTAGAATTCTCACTCAACGCTGTTCTTTCTGCTGTATTAACTACCAAGGATGTTAAAAGTGCTTTAGAAGTTCGACTCTATAACTACTCTGTTTTGTTGATTACCTGTTGTGCCTTTGCGGGTCTTATAAATAGCCTTACAGTGTTTACACAAATATCAATATGGCGGTTTCGCCGTTTCCCATGTCGTTGACACGCGATGTTCGTCCGATAATTGAATTATAGCAATGCAATCTCATTACAGTACAAGGTTGGCGCGAATCCGTTTTTAGTCTATTCGGTAAATGTTTACGTAACGTTGTTGTATTTAGTTCGGGCCGTTTTACTCAACTCGTAAACTATTTAATTTTCAAAGCGAAATCTCTTTTCAACATCTGGAAGTTTGCAAATATGTGTTTGACTTTTTATCATAGCATACATTACATAAATAAACTTTGTAATATATATGTTTTATAAAATGACCTCATTTGTGATAAACAGTTTATGCAACCGGCATTTGATTTGTAAATTTTGACATAGGGTTAGGTTCTGCCAGAACTCTTATGTCATCAACCAAAGATATTATAATATCTTTGTCATCAACGCACTCATCGACTCTTTGACAATGTTGTCTAACAAAATGAATCAAAATACTTAACGCAGCAAAAAAAGGTACTAAATAATATTTATGGTAATGCCATTGCACCATAAAAATAATTTGAAAAGCGTTGTGATGACCTAGGGCAGTCCGTTGCTTGTTGGGAGCGTTCATTTCTTTCCTATACATTTAACCGCGTGTCACCTTTGTGGGGCACCATAAAAGCATATACATAACTTTCTCGATCACTAGCGGGTACAATATCCCACATATACTATATAAAATTACCTCTCTTTTTCAACATTTTTAGTTGTTGTAATAATATGCTGTTACTGTAGCAAGGTCCCTGAATTTTTTATTTAAATAGTTTGCAAAATTATTTTGCAAGTATCTGGCAATATTTTTTCCACCCGACAAAATTAACTAGATTAATTCACTTCTTAAATATTCAATTCTAATGTACCTATTTATATTACAGAATACGCAATGATTTTGCAAAAAATATTTTTTATTTGGAAATATAAGGGTCGATGTAGCCCCACTATCCTTCAGCCAGTAGGTATAATAGAGGAAGTATTGAAAAGTTTATAAATAATAAAAAATATAATAACATAAGTATTGAACAAGTTTTCAAATATATCTCCTAGAAATTTACCTACTAAAATGGTTGGTTTTATAATGTAACCAACCGTTTTAGTAGGTAAAAAATTAATTTTTATTGAGATTAGTAGTTTTGTTGTTTTGATTTGATTTAATTAGGGATGAAAAGTTCGATGATACAATTCGAGATTACGGATTAAGGTTTTTTTCCCCAATGAATACAAATAGTAATTTACACTTATATCCGATTGATTTTAGGATGGCACTTTGCCCAAGACACTGGGAATGTTCAATATGTTCGTGCCAATCGATGGTGAAGATGCAAGAAATGAAGTGATTAAGGATGCACGGAAAATGGAAACATTTCTTACACTATTTTAATAAATATTAAAATCTCAATATTGTTAGTCATGATTTGTAGTCAATACAATAGTGGTTACTATTAGATAAAACATCATCATCATCAGCCTGTTAATTCCCTCACTGCTGGGGCACAGGCCTTCCTTTTGGATGGAATAGGCAGATTGGGCCGGGACAGTGGGGATCGGTGGGTGCTAAAGACTGCAGATGCAGCCAGGGCCAACGGCTTAACATGCCTTCCGAAGCACGGTGGAGCAGGAGATAGTAAATTTTTGGTCACGCATCCAATGACCGACCACTGCGAAAGTTGCTTAACTTCCAAGATCGCAGCCGAAAGCGTTAACTACATGCGCCATCGAGCTCCTCTAGATAGACACTTAGTTATTTTTAGACGAAGCAAATTATCTTACCCCAGCTGATGTTAAGTCAGTAAAGTTTCCGGGATCGGATACCACGAGAAAATTAAAAAAAAAACAAATAAAACTTCTTTAGGCATTTAATTAACCATCGCATTTTTTAAACCATCTAGTTTATTTTTCAAAACGCTGAACGATTTTGGACTTTATACGTATGGTACATAAGGTTGAAAATCGTTGAGATTTTAATCTGACAGCTATTTGTAGCCTGTTGCACTGTAGGTACCTTTTAAACATAATATACTATGATTTTATGTCTTTACATCACAATAATAAAGTGAAACTGCCATTTCTCTGTTCCACTCTACATGCTCTTGCGCAATTAATATGTGCATAATTTTAGCCACTAAAATGGCGGCTCCGCTTGGTTGTGGAGGAAATTGTGGTATAATTGGATCTGCGTTGCGAGCTTTGTGTTTCTGGCCATATGGTGTGCATACGAGTCCACATTTTGCGAGAACTTAGGTCTTTTTTTTTTCATTTAATAGATTTTTCTTTAGGCATATTATGTGCCAGTTTAGTTTGGTACCAAGCTAAATCCTATGGTCTAATTTTGACGACCTCCGTAGCCGAGTGGTTTGTACGCTGGGTTTCATGGTGTCGCCGAGGTCCCAAGTTCAAATCCCGGTGGGGGCAGCTGATTGTGTGATGAATACGAGCAATGTGTGCTCCAGTCATGGATGTTTAATTTGTATTTCTATATAAATATACTTATATATGTACAGTAAATGTATTCTATCCGATACCCTAGTATCTCATAACACAAGCCTTACAGTGCTTACTTTGGGGCTAGACTAATTGGTGTGTGTTGGAAATATTTATTTATTTATCTTAGTCTCGACATTAAAAGATGGAAGATACGACCCCATGTTGTTAGTTAAAATACTAGTGCACAACAAGTTCTTACGAAGCCATGGCATTATTATCGCATGTTATTACAAAACATAACCTAATTAGATTTGACACGGGCGGTGTAATTTGTTCGCCCTGTTTGCCAGTGAGAATAAGTTTACCTTAATCTGTGGCACCGTGAAAACAGTGCCACTTGCCACTGCGAATAGCGACAACATGGGAAACTTCAACGAGACTTTGATAAACAAACTGTTTATAATAATAATTTATTTACTTGAACAGCTATGTGATCCATAAAGTGTTAATAACAATCTATACTAATATTATAAAGAGGAAAGGTTTGTATGTAACGAATTGGCTCAAACAGTACTGGACCGATTTTAAAAAATCTTTCACCATTTGAATGCTACGTTATCGTTAAAAAAGTTAGGGTTCCGTATGTACTTCGATAATGTAACCCAAAGTGTGTTTTTTACCTAAATATTTTTTTTTGTTAATCGGGACATATAGGCCCGTATTATAGAAAGATTCTCAGTGATTGATCTAGTCTTGAGCATAGTTAGAAAGGGATGTCGCTATATATAGCTAGGGTTGCCATCCGTCCGGATTTCCCCGGATTTGTCCTAGTTTACAGAGCGTCCGGGGAGCGTCCGGGCGGGGTTTCATTTGTAGTCCGGGTTTAAAAATTTCCTGTTTTGGGTCGCCAATTTATCCGTTATAATTTTAATGTCTTTGAAAATAAATAAATCTATTCTAACACTGTACCCTTAAATGCTGGCGTCCTACAAGGATCAGCTCTGTCACCCACGCTGTACGCAATAACAGCATTCGTTGCTATGTGGATGAAAGCACTGTCACTTTTTACACTGGTTGGTCAAACATCCCTCGAATAGAAGTAGAAAGGTGTAAAGACAGACTTGTGTCCGAGAGAGATTGAAATGTTACTGGATTAAGTCTCAAATTGGAGCCAATAAAATTTGATTGTCTTAACCCAGCAAAGACACAAGTGTGTGTGAAAAAGCTCGGGTGCTCAATAGATCGAGTAAATACCTCAAGCCTAAATATCGGGTGTTGCTTTACAAAGCACTGGTCCTCTGGGCTGGAGCACCTCAATACCAGCTACTTCCTCTTGACCGGATACAAAATCGGGCAGTTCGACATAATGGTATTCCGAGGAATTATTCAACCGCAAAGAAGTTTTACGCTCACCATCTAGACCCTTGGCGTTTTAGCACCATGCGTTCCTTTCTTTTGCGTAGCAGCATGATCTGGAACGAACTTCTCTCAGTACTTTTTTCTTATAACTACGATATGGTAGTTTTAAAAAGGCGGATGCACTTTTTCCTTCAGAGCCGGCAACGCATGAGTGGCCCTTGATGCTGCAAGCATCCATGGGCAGCAGTGACCACTTATTATCAGGTGGACTGCTAGCTCTTTTGCTTACATCAACATAAAAAAAAGTTGATTTGTGACATTTTAAACTATTTTTTTTATTGGTGTGTCTGGGTTTTGGGGTTCCGGGGTTTTCACGCGTCTTGTCCTGGTTGCCACATTTCTGAGATGGCAACCCTATATATAGCACATAGCGACATCCCTTTCTAACTGTACTCAAGTAAAGATCAACACTTAGTTGTCATTCTGTAATATGGGCCTTAGCGTCCCGATCAGGTTCAAATCGGGACGCGTCCCCACACCCCTGAAAATCGGGACACCTGGCAACACTACCCTGAACCTATTGTTATACTGGACCCGTAGATGGCTTGATCCCAAGGTACTAACCTGAATAATGTTCTTGCCTGTGGAGTGTGAAAATGGAATACCAATAATAAGGTTTTATTTTATTACATTTAACCCGCTTTGCAAATGTTT